GTCCTGAATGCCATAAAGCTACTGAAATGGGGGAAAGCAGCAGAACTAGATGGAATACCGCCAGAAGCACTGAGAACAGATGCAGAGACAACAGCGGACATGCTCACACCACATCACTATTGCAGAAGGTGTGGAAGGAAAAGAAGGTACCTGGCCACTGATTGGAAGAAGGGTTACCTTGTCAAACTCCCGAAGAAGGGAGACCTCGGTGTTTGCAAGAACTGGCGCGGAATCACTCTCCTGTCCACCCAATGACAGCAAAATATTAAGCCGCATCATCCTGGAGAGGCTAAAGGATGCACTAGATTCAAAACTACGACTGGAACAGGCAGGCTTCAGGAAGTACAAATCATGTGCAGACCAAATTGCAACGCTTCGCATCATCATAGAACAGAGTATAGAATGGCAATCAGCTCTCTGCCTCAACTTCATCGACTTTGAGAAGGCCTTTGACAGCGTCGACCGAGAAGTAATTTGGAAACTGCTTCAATACTATGGAGTACCGCAAACCTTTATCCGCCTGATTCAACAACTATATGAAGATGCCACATGCCAAGTAATCCACAATGGGAAGCTCAGTGATGCTTTTGAAGTGAAGACGGGAGTGAAACAAGGTTGTCTCCTATCCCCCATGATATTCCTGATTGTGGTCGACTGGACTGGATCACGCAGCGAACAGTAGGCAGAGAGAAGAGGGGGATACACTGGACTGCGGAAAAGAACCTAGAAGATTTGGATTTCGCCGATGACTTGTGTCTGATGTCACACAAACTTGAAGATCTGCAGGCAAAAACTAACAAGTTGATAGAAGAGGCAGCGAAGACGGGACTTCAGGTGAATATAGAGAAGACAGAAGTGATGAAGATACCGCACCACCACCATCAACAACAACAAACTCCAATCACCGTCAACGGGAGAAACTTGAAGGAAGTAACCTCCTTCACTTATCTAGGAAGCACTGTTTCAACTACAGGCGGGACGGACGAGGACGTCAAAGTCAGAATTGGAAAAGCAAGACAGGCGTTCATTAGCCTGAAACCAGTGTGGAGATCTTCTGCACTCAGCATGCGGAACAAGATACGGATTTTCAACACCAACGTGAAGTCAGTGCTTTTGTATGGTTCAGAGACTTGGCGCGTCACGAAAGGGATTTCCAATAAACTACAGACATTCATCAACAACTGCTTACGCTCGCTACTGAAGATCAGATGGCCAGAAAGAATAAGCGACAAGGAACTCTGGCAACGAACCAACCAAGAACCTATCACGCAACAAATATGCAGGAGGAAGTGGAGATGGATTGGCTATGCACTGAGAAAGCCGACTGAGGACATCACGCGTCAGGCCCTCGAGTGGAACCCCGATGGGAAGCGACGAGTTGGACGTCCGAGGGTGACATGGAGGAGGTCGTGCGAGGAGGAAATGAGAGGTTGTGGGCTGTCGTGGGACCAGGTTCAAAAGATCTCAGAGAACAGAGGTCACTGGAGGCGTGCTACTGAAGCCCTATGTTCCACTAGGAACCCAAGGGACTGATAAAAAAAAATAATAATAAATGATCACAGCGTAACATGTTGTACATGTTACGTTTTGAAATAAAGCAGATTCTAATACCGTCAAAAGTAAGTCATTTTCTGAGGAAGTGCACGATGCTGAGACTGTTTGCTGCTTCCAGTCTATGGGTGGAGCATTCAGATTCCCTATTGTTAGGCATTTGTTGCTTCTACTCCACTTAAGCATATGGGTTAGCCCGGAGTCATTTGCAAGGCAGGATGGACTACGGCAGATGACCCCGATAGTAGAGAATCCTTACTTTGGCTTCAGCTCGCAAATGGCGACCTCACGGGTCCTGTGCTCACGTGTTTCGGACGTGACTAATTGTATATGGGTGTCATTCTGGACACAGAGCAGTATGCAACCACCAATGCGACCCACAACCCTGCACGTCCGTGCACAGTAATGCCCTGTGAGGAGTGGCGTAAAATCTGGATCGTTTATTAGCCAGGTTTAGGTAAGGGCTACCAAGCCAGGACCTAGAGTCTCAAGTTCTGTCACGTTACTTCTAATGCTGCAAGTATTGGTGTAGATAACTTTCACCGCTTTGGAGGAGTTCCATGGCCCATTCACATAGACCCTGGAAGCATTCGCTTCAAAGACATCACAACCCGAGCATCCACTACTTCAGGATCGTTTTCCGCATGAGTTTGTGGAGCGGCGACAGCTCCTCTTCTCTTCATTCGGTCCTCGAAAGTCCAGCCAGATTGAATGCTGATATCCTAATTTAGTAGTTTGGATGTGCTCAGGGGTATATCCACTTCTTCTTTGTTGCCTGAAACAACCTTTAAAATCCTCGTCGCATTAGGTTTTTCATCCTTTTTCTTACCTAGTCTGACCACTTTGGAGATGTGTACCCCTTTAGTCTTTTCAGGTGAAATACGCGTGATGGCCGACGCAACTAGTTTTGGGCCATAGTCATGACGTGCTGAGGAATTTTTGTCCGATGACTCCTCAACATTCCAGAAGATCATGTCACTCGTTGGTGTGGAAGCCTTGGGTTGTATGTTGACGACCTCCGAAACCTTCTCAATAGGCTTCGTGAGCTTGGCAGCTTCAGTGATATCCATTGGGGGTTTCTTCGAACCCTTTTCTGAAGAACTCCATGTAAATTCGCTGATCACCTTCATACAGTCAATTCTATCACCACAGATGTCTTTTGGTGAATCCTTAGGCATTATAACTGGTGTACAATTTGCCCTCAGACTTCCCCTGAGTTGAGTACGCATAGAAACTGGTGTAATCTCCCCGGATATATCACTAGCGTCCATTACTCCGTTACGAGATCTCGTGTCAGATGTATTAACAATAATACTTGCAGTGTCATTGTCTGATGCCACCTTGGAATGTCAGCCACCGTTTCCACATAGCTGTTTTTTAACGAGTAACATTTCGGCAGCTTCCTGGAATAAGGTTGATAGCGGCTTGGAGCGGAAATCATATAACCAGGGATAGGCTGGTTTGCTGCAACGCTTGTACACGGTTGGTGTCAGCCTAGTACAAACGTTGTGGAACCAACGTCCACATGCATCACATCGCATGCCTTCGTCAACTGGAAATTTACAACTGGGCCGGCTGGAAACAAGACTATCACTGACCACGTTATTCACAATTTCGTTTTCACTGGCACCGCGTACTAACTGAAGTATTCCGTTAAAATTTCGGCTCAAGGACTTAAGTTGGGACAACGCAAAGGCCAACCTAAAGCTTCATAAATCATCAAACTTCAAACACTGTCTCAGGTACCTCAAGTCAGAGTCTATAGGGAAGCCTCTAATGTGGATTACACAACAACGAGGCAAATGTCAAAAGCATGGGAAATTTCACTTTCCATTTTCAAAGCGTCGGTGACAGCCTTCTGGCGAAACACCTGTAAACAAGAGTGGCCATCTCCTGCTTTTCCTTCGTGTCGACTCCGAGTGAGTTGTAGCCTAAACCGCCCCCTTCAGATAAGATTCTGGTACCGCGCAGTTGAAGATCAAGAAACTTGGCTGGCTGGGTAAATTCACATGAAATGTTGAGGATGCAATGCTGACTCCATCTTGATTCTTTGGACATCATTTGCCTTTAACGTCCATAAAATTTAGGGATAAGTGGATTTCGGTAGTGAAATAAAGAGGAGATGAAGATCCGTCCAGCCCGATTTGAACCGCCTAATTTCTTCTCCAGAAATGCTAGTGAATATTCTTCCCTATTCTCAGGAAAACAAAACTGAAAATGCATTCAGTGTGTTGCTGTGCGGAAGGTAAGGATCACTATAGCTACTGCATTTCTCAGACCGAGTGTCCCATGAACTTCGTGAGAGTATTAGCGGCAGTAAATATTGGTTGCTCTACTCTAGTTCCCCTCAGAATTCAGATAAGAAGGGTGCAGTGAAATCAAGCATAATCATGGCTAACGGAAATATCGAATCACTGACTTCCCCGTGCAAAATTCAAAACTCGGTGTATCGAGCATTTCAGGGTTGAACTGTCATCCAAATACTTCATGGATTCATCAGAGCCAAAGCAAGTGAGTAGGTGACCAAAGAAGATGAAGCCCGTAAAGAACACAGGATGATTCCACGACGCTTAGGAGAAAACGTGGATAAATCAACTGTTTCCTAAGGACATTGGATATTAGGGTTTGCAGCTACTAGACAGTCACAATTGTGATCTTCGTGGGGACACGAAAAGAATCACCCCTCAAAAGGCGAAGACCTGTCTGTGTTCACACCCTTCTCCATCGAATTTAAGGCCACTGGAACGCATAGCCTTCAGAGTTAGCCTCTGCTGGGTGTGCCAACAGCTTCAAGATAAGTTTGTACAGCTTCACAGTGACTTCGCTTGAATCCTTCTTCCAGCAGGGATACGGACTTGATTAAAGCAGTCAGACGAGCCTAAGTTGATTAAAACATTCCCCCATAATGGTGCTCTTGCTTTTTCACCATTTTCATGAACTCAACATCACACTTATTTATTAGACGTCTTACCTCTCCAGTAATTATCCCACTGCCAAAGTCGTTACTATTTCTGTATCCGTAGTCCCTGCTGAGATCTAGCCTGTTCGCCTCTCCCAATGGCATTCTTTCATTTCATTCTACTTGATAAGGTTCTTCTCTTGACCGTTTCCCTCCTGTTTTCCATAAAAATACCAAAGTTTCTCCTTTCCTGTCGCTTCGCTTCCATGCTATTTGTTTACACTCATTTCATCTCCTTTTGTTCTCGTGGTCATCCTTTTATCTACCTTACCCCTCTTTTATGGCTAGTCTGAACGACTGCTCGGTGACATGGCATTTTTTCGGACTTATTGTTGGCGAGTAACTAGGTTATTCATTTCGAAATTCATCAATGACGTGAATTCGTTCCCTCAGACCCGAAATTAGATGTGAAGAAAACAACTAGTTTATACAAGCTCGTAAGGCAGTATGGGATTTTGTATGTTATTGAGCAAAATTTAAATATAACCTTGAGATTGTTTGACGTAAGGCGTTATCCGCGTGAACATACTAGTAATGGATTTCCTGCTTTGTAATGATATAATGAAGCATATAAATTATTTTTGAAAATTTTTATTCATTTGGACATTCATGAGTACAGAATGTTTCTTCATTATCTTGAAGCGAGCGCAAGGAAATTCGCTTCAGAAGAAACCATGGTTATTGGATGGTGGATACTAATGTTGTAAAGTCAGAATAGGCTCTCTAATAAGATTTTGTCTTCTCAAGATTGTTTTTATACCCTTCAGGCACTAAAGATGACCCAGCGTCTGTATACATTACTATAAAGTCTTATCTAGAAAATGGTTCTGTTTGATGGTTTTTATAGCCTAATTGCATATCAGTAGGGGTTAACACAGCAAATATGTATTCGTTGTTCACCCTCTCTGAGTAATTTTCACATTTTCCCAAGTGAGCTCCACTTTTCCGTCTTTTTGGAAAATTTATAAAGCTAGATTTTCGTGAACTATGCATGCCCTGTACCACTGTTCAAGTAATCTTTGGTTGCTATTAGACAATTTGCAGGTGTATTCAGAGGAGAAAATTTATGGTTCTATCTCATATCTGGTTTTCAATTGATGAAGATATGTCAATCACTGATTAACTACTTTACTTAAATTTTATGTGTGTACTCATTCCCATCACATGAGGTTTCAGGAATTGATCTTGGGCAAACGTGTCAGTTGCGGAGGTCAATCCTAATAATTCGTACCTGCAATATACCCATGAGTGTGAAATCAAGAAAGAACACAATGGAGTATCCAGGTAATACGAATGAAATTTGGTTGCTCTAAAGGCCTTCATAGTCGAAAATACCCTGTCTGCGGTGGGACAAAGTGAAGAGGTTCAGCTCCTTAAGTCCGTCTTCATAGGTGAGGCTAGCCACCGCAGGGATCGCACTAGTGACTGCCCTCTGAACTCTTTCTAGAAGGTCTGCGTCACCTTTCAGACAAGAATTAGCCGCCTGTGTACAGTTTTCTAATTAAGACTTGACTAAGGATGCGTATAGGATGGTGAACATGTCACCACTTATTTTCGTAAACGTTCTATGTAATGGCCAGAGAGCCCTCCGAGTCGCTACCAATCGATAGTTAACCGTGGTTTTCAAGTCATAATTCACTGTGACTGCTAGGTCATTGTGGGTTAGTACTGGAGGTAGAGGAGTCCCATCAATATCGTAGGTGTTGCTATCTGTGTACCCCAAATGTGTGCTCACACATTCATCTGCTTCGATAGGCATCAGCCACTTCTCTGACCAGGTAAAAAAGCTGTTCAGGTTTGCCTGGAGCGCACGTATATCCTCACCGTTCCTGATTTCCCGCCAGATATTTACATCAACAGCTGAGAGAACCATAGGTTATTTCGTAATATTTGGCAGCTCATTTACACGTAGGAGAAACAGCAGGGTGTCCGAGACTGTGCCTTGTGGCACTCCATTCTCTACCGATTTCCAAGTGGAGAGTTGAGAATCGATCCTAACACTTTGTCTCCTACCAACAAGAAACTCTCTTATCCATACGAGCAGACTGGTAGTGATTCCAAAATTTTCCAGCTTCCTGAGCAACCTGCAATGAGATACCTTGTCGAACGCCTTACTAAAGTCTATGAAAATGACATCCACGGGTATATTATCATCTCTAGACTTAACGCAACTTTTTCTGACTGTAAGGAGGTTCTTCAAGCAAGAGAAATTTCTACGAAAACAGTGCTATGAACGAGATAATAGAGCATTGCTCTCTAGGTGGACTGTGATGGCTTTCTTGATTACTCTTTCTGGGATTTTTACCACAGTACTAGTCAAACTTATCGGTCTCCATTTTGATGGGAGCTACCTAAAACCTGCCTTGTGGATAAGTGTTACTATGGCATTCTTCCATTCACAAGGGAGTGCGCCTCCACTGAGGAACAGTTTGAATATAGTAGTCAATGGGCCGGCTACATAGAGTGCAAGCTCTCTGAGTAGCCTTGAGTGCAGCTCATCTGGGCCAGTTAATTTTTCCACGTCGAGATTATTTTGGATCCAAAATACATCATTGCGATCGACATCCACATTGTTTAGTCTGTTGGATGTCAATGCTTCTACTGTTAGATAAGTGCCCACTTAAGATCCCTGTGTGAAGACCACAATTTTGCATTTTTTCTGTCATTAGAAATATATTAGTCATTGAATGAATACCGACCAGTGATGCGAAACTAAACTGCTCATTCCGCTTGTGTATGTGTATGGTGATCGGACTATCTTTTTTTGAGAGTGATCTCTGTTACAGTCAGTTTTGCCTATAAAGTGAAGGCTTGCAAAACTGCTAACTTAGATTTGTTGCCTTTGAGTATCATAGTTACTAGGTTAAACTTGTCATTTACAACGCGACGGAGTTCACCGAAAGCACGCAGGTGACTGCTGCTGTCCTGCTCGCCTAATGATTCACCAGATGCTAACCGAATGAGGAAATACTCAAGTTTCTCTTAGGTATATTGTTGCAGTTGCATCATGGATTAAGTTCCCTTAACAGACGTGGATAACGCAAAAGCAAAACTATTTGCAAGCTTTTATTTCACGGCTTCTCATAAACTACAAACTGCCTACAATTTAAATGAAGTACCAGTAGTCATTATGACATTACATACCTTAAGTGTACAGAAATGATTGAAACCTTGAAATTTAAGATTAACAGTAAGTTAGTGAGTCAAGGAAACGGAGTATTAATAGTCAAAAACATTGGTCATAATTAGTGGCAATTTATATCTGATGAGACAGAAAATTCTGGAGTGGTGGAATAGGGAGGGCAACAAACAAACGTCAGTGTAAAATAGGGTTGGTAAAGAGCCGCTAGGTTATGTAATTATATGAAAACGAAACTCGTTAAGTGATGAGTAGTTAGTAAGTAACTAGTGAAAAAACGATGCAATCAAGAAAAGGAAAACTATACACGTACACATGCAAAAAATTACATACAGTTATCAGAGTAAAGAAAGTTGATTACAATCTCTTTCTGGGTAAATAGGTCAGGTTGAAAATGTTTGATGGTGAGAGCTTCCACAAACCATGAGAAATGTGAGCTTCTTCGTTTGTTGGTTATCTTTAATAATTGCAAGATATCCATATGATGTCTCATTTCCATCAGGTTCCTGGCGTTTGCGCTTGTAAAGACCCTGCTGCCTTTCAGACACAGATTAGTCGGAATATTCCGATAAAATGATAAGACGCCCTTCTTTCGGTTCTTTCTATGTATTTGCTTACAAAGTCACAGGTAAGTTGATATACAAAGTTTCTGGGTGATATTTGTCTGCTTTTGACTGTGATATTGAGCATACTGTAATGTAAAGTGAGATCAGTCTGGGAACAGGGAAGCTCCTTCTCAGCATATTGGATTTTCAACCTTCATTTATTTCTGCACGTTTAACGTACGTAATGTCATTATTTCTACTAATACTTCATGTCAATTGTAGGCTGTTTGCAGCTGATGAGAGGTCGTGAGATAAAACTAGCTCATTTCATTGCACAAACGTTTTCGTTCTTGCACTGTTCAAAAATTACACTAATTCTAGACATGTAATATGTCATGTATTGTGTCTCTCGTTGTTAGAAAACAGCTGAGTCGGCTTATTAACTTGTTTTTTATTTCACCGATTATTTAGAGTAAATATCTGTCATACAATCACCGTACAAGTTTCTCGTCTTCTTTCTAACAAGCAATCTTTAAAAGAGATATATTGTCAAGCATCCAGACTAAAGAATCTTCTTCTTTCTTTCTTTTCTCTGTTATGGTATGGCTAAACAAATGTATACGTTTCGGATACTTCTTCCGGACTGGGTTGGTAATGATGTAAGAATACCGATAGGGCCTCTTGACTTGAGGGAAACTAATTCCTGAAGTGTTACTATACAGATAAACATTACACTATGAAATAACCTCAGAATTAAGTCTGTAGTAATTAAGATTATTCGGTTGACATTATTTTTACTTGGATTTTTAAATAAATTACGTAGAAAACTAGTTTTACTCTGACAATGCCGAAAATAAAATGATTTCTGTCTTCTCTATTCAGTTCTTTAACTTTTCATTTTAAATTGTTGGTGTCCAAATTACTCTTTCACTGTCAGAAAGTTTTCACTTCTATGTTATCCAGTATCCTAATGACACGAAGTTAAAATTCTTGAGCGATATTAAATTTGTGAATTTCTGGCTTTGTAGTGAGAACCGAGTTTGGTTTAAATAAGTCTAAAGCTTGGTAACATGAAATTCATTACTTTATGTTAGGGTCTGGAGTCAGTCAGTGGGAAGCTATAAACGTAATTCTTTATCGTCTTCTATCATCAGGCATGCTGTGCACCTCATGTTTATCCAAATATGCAGCCTGTAGCATTCACTGTGAAAGTAAGAAACATTAGCAATCAACTATCCATATATCATTTGGTACCTAATCTGGTTAGTTCCACTTCTTTGTTCATCAAGTATTCAAGAAGATTTATAAGCTTAGGTAGTTTCTCTGCTGATAATAGGTGGATATAAAAGCTAAATCGTTTCTTTTACCCCTAATTCAGTGACTTTATTACCACTAGCACTAACATAGCTGACTGCCACTAATATCCCTTAGTGGAATTGCATACCAAGGATGATTTTCTGTCCGTACCTTGTACGCAGTAATTACCTTTAATAACAATAATAATATTGATAATCGCTTTATTTCGAACAATAATACGTAATGAAATTTTCAACACGTAATATTTCAAAAAATACTCTTCCTGTGTAGAATTTTTAAAAGAAATGATTTTCTCATCTAAATAATGCTAATAGAAACGAAACTAAAGGTACTACTTTGAAATAAGTAGCAAGTGTTACATCCTAATAATGGGTGAATACAAAACTATGCTGGTGGTATTTCAATCAGCTAGCACAAAAATTGTATTTTTACGCATGAATATGTCTATTTCAATCCGGCATAAAGGTTTTCTTTTATTTCATTCTTAGCTTGAAAAACGAGAGTTTGAAAATATTTCAAAACAATATGAGGTTACGTGATACATTTAGAAGACATATCTGAAAGATTGGAACATACTGAAAGAGAAGGATTTGATAAAATATCGTTGGTGGAAAAATATTTTGCTACCCCATGTTTTAAGGGGATCGCATAATTCTGTTCCTCTTGATGCAGGTGAATCTCTTTTTAACATAAGAGCGATGTAAGATCGATGAAGTAGCACAAGTCAAAGATTTTAATTTTGATATTGGTATGGTTAAGGGAAAAAGCTAAGAAATTGCATTTTTTGCATTGATTGAACTCCAAGTTTGATGATTAAAAGGAAGTTTAAGTACGTACATTCCCTCCGTGCTCTAAAGGAGAGAAAATAAAATGTTCAATGAATTTTAATCGTAATACCCTTGTCTAGCTGCACTTATTCTCAAATACTCTCTTCATCATGTACCGTAAGACATTACTTGCTTTAAACCATCAATAGCTGAATTAATAAAATTGTTGTTTATCGGTTATCTGATGACTTGTGCCTAATGTCACATAAACTTGAAGAACTGCAGGCAAAAACTAACAAGTTGATAGAAGAGGCAGCTAAGACGGGACTTCAGGTGAATATAGAGAAGACAGAAGTGATGAAGATACCGCACCACCACCATCAACAACAACAAACTCCAATCACCGTCAACGGGAGAAACTTGAAGGAAGTAACCTCCTTCACTTATCTAGGAAGCACTGTTTCAACTACAGGCGGGACGGACGAGGACGTCAAAGTCAGAATTGGAAAAGCAAGACAGGCGTTCATTAGCCTGAAACCAGTGTGGAGATCTTCTGCACTCAGCATGCGGAACAAGATACGGATTTTCAACACCAACGTGAAGTCAGTGCTCTTGTATGGTTCAGAGACTTGGCGCGTCACGAAAGGGATTTCCAATAAACTACAGACATTCATCAACAACTGCTTACGCTCGCTACTGAAGATCAGATGGATTGCCAGAAAGAATAAGCGACAAGGAACTCTGGCCTGCCAACGAACCAACCAAGAACCTATCACGCAACAAATATGCAGGAGGAAGTGGAGATGGATTGGCTATGCACTGAGAAAGCCGACTGAGGACATCACGCGTCAGGCCCTCGAGTGGAACCCCGATGGGAAGCGACGAGTTGGACGTCCGAGGGTGACATGGAGGAGGTCGTGCGAGGAGGAAATGAGAGGTTGTGGGCTGTCGTGGGACCAGGTTCAAAAGATCTCAGAGAACAGAGGTCACTGGAGGCGTGCTACTGAAGCCCTATGTTCCACTAGGAACCCAAGGGACTAATAATAATAATAATAATCGGTTATCTAAGCTCCCAGAACTTGATGTTTCAAATATGCTATCCATAATAATGGTAATCAGAGTAGTAAACTGCATTCACAAGTTTAGCACCTCGTTCTTTGTGGCGAAATTAATATTAATCAAACCATAAGGTATCCCCAAACGAATACGAAAACGGCCTAATTACCTCTTATATCTCCTAAATTTGGTAAATTTATTGGAAAGTACCTGTTTTTTGTTGATCAAAATCCGTGAAATGAAGCATTTTGAAATATCCTGCAATTTAGTCTGAAGTCCTTAGAGCAGCCGAAGCTATAACTTGAACGCTACGGTTTAGAAGGTTTTATGGTATCAGTTTTTGAGTCATATGTATTGAACACTACCAGATTGTATGAACTTGAGTTTTAAATTTTGTACAAAATATCCGGAATATCTTAGAATATTTCGCTTGTAGCCGAAGAGCTAACCTATTTTCTCATTTTTTTTGTTATACGACAGATACACCAGTTGACTTTGTTGTAGGTACAACAAAACAAAAATTAGTTTTAAATTTCCGAAGTAGTCACAAGTTAGCCCCCAGAAATTCGTCACATTTTACTACGTAGGTTACCTGGATATCTACTCTTAGATATTTGTGCATTTCAGAGAAATGTGTTTGTCATTTGGGTGACCACATGTTTAGATAACCCATTAATCTAGAAGTGTGGTCGTCGTATTAAAAAAATCTGTCGCTGACTCATCATATTTGAGACTATTTCATTTTCTAGAGTTGAGAAAGGATTTTAGAAATTATATCATGTCCTTAGGAATCCTAAGGGAGAAATAGAAGGTGGTACTCTTAGGAGATGAAACTATATAAGCAACTTACAAATATTTAGGGGGAAACAGCATTAAAGGTATTGACCATCCTTAAAACGTATTCTGATGTTTTTACACTCTTATACAGTAAGTAACATGATATTGTGCTAAGACTTGAAAGCTTTGTTAAATTTCTCATCGGTAGTCAGATAGGCTTGTATAGAATTGTGCGCAAGAGTACAATGCCTAATGCCGTCACGATTTGAAGTTACTTGATTTCAGCAATCCAACCCTCAAATTATTCTTCCTGATATGACATGATATCAAGAAACAAGAATTTCAAACAGCGTAGCTAGTAACTTTCACCATAGTAGGCCAGTCATGTCATCACTGTTGAGAGTATCTAAATCATAAAATAACGTTTTTTCTCCTTCTGTAGTCAGTTTGCTTATGACTTAAATTCAATGTAAGTAATACCATTCATCTGGTTGAGTTTACGTTTAAGTACTTTGTGTATAAGCACTGTCATCATCATCATCATCATCAATATCAACATAGGACCAGGCATTACTGCGTAACGGTCCGAGTTGCCACAGCTCATATTAGTACATCAAGTAGAAAGGCAGTGAGGCACAAGATGAAGATAAGAAAGTTCAGTCAAAAGAAATATAAGGTGCGAAAGAGAGAGGAAGAATGAGAAAATGGTGAGACTCAGTATAGTGTTAAGATGAAAACAATGTATGTATACATCTGCGCCACTGACATCGGTTCTGAGCCTTATCACCTAAAGTCTCCAACAACTGATTCCTCTTGTCCCGCGGACCCCAACCGACTACTATGCATCGCCCCATATGGCTCAAACCAACAGTCAAAGACTTCATACATTGGTGCCATGTTTTAGTTTGACCACCTTGAGCCTTTTTCCAGCCTGGACCTACTTCGGCCAACATTGTGTGACGAGGCAATCGGTGACTTGGCATACGTAATACATGTCAATAACCTCATCAACAGATTTACCTCTGCTCCCTAAAACCTGTTTTTTTTATCATGTAAATGTGTTAGTTTTTACGTTTATGATAAATATTTATGAATGTTTCTTTATTCTCTTGTTGTATCTCTGGTCAAAACGAGTCATTCTGCACTTGATAAGCCCTCAGTGAAATTTATATGAGATCAGTTTCATCCCTATTACTCATAATGCATAACTACAAACATCTCGTGTGGCATAATCAAAATTCATTTATTATGTCTTATTTATTTTCCTGACAAAATTAATTCATTTATCAACGCATTACTTAGCTGATAAATTTCTTGTTCTTATTTATTTTCCGTTCAAGATAATAAAATGTAGTGAACATTGAACACTCATAACAAATATGAAGACAAGTTCACTAGTGGTATTTATTTCATTTAATAAAAGTTAAATGATGATGACATTTTGATACCAACTTTATTTTATTAGATTTTTATAAATATATCAAATGACAGATGTTTAAAATTATGACATTTCAAAAAGATAAACCCATGTACACTGGAGGAAGTATAACTAAGGATGCAATTACCCAGGAGCAGTTTACTCGAGAATTATCTATGCGTCTCGAACAACTGTCATTAGAACGTAATGTTCATGTAACGGATGAATATTCAGATAGTTCTTTTTCTCCATCATTTATATCAAGGCGTAAAACAGATTGTACGGTTCATACAAATAAATCTGTACCAAATGTCCAGACGAATTTATGTAAAAGAAGCAGTATTCAACAACAAAATACCATTCAGATGAATTCATTATTACAAAACACAAAGAAATATTTAGCAGTTCATGTTCAGTCGGATAGTTCAAAACTTTTAGATCTACAATCATCAATTAACGAAAGTTTTGAGAAAAAAGCATTCAGTGGAAGACTTTTTTCAGAGAATGATGTAAGTACTTTTAGTAGCACTAACCCTGTTTCATTGGTTTGGCAGGCTGAAAAATATTTTCCAAATAATCATAAACAAAATAAACCTTCGGTATATGGTATTCCAAAGCAATACAAAACTTCTAAATCGAAACCATGTAATACTTGTTATCAGAAAGTTGAACAGTACACTTCAACCGATATCGAATACTTTGAACAAAAGGGGGAGGATGTTGAAATAATAGAAGAGGATAAACACATGGTTGATGAAATATCTAATCACAGTGAAAGTGACCAAGAAATAGAATGCTTAGACGACGATAATCTAATCAATGATGATAATGTAAGTATGAAGTACTTTGTGATGATATTTTGATTTGTGTTAATGAACAAAGTTTCTTGTTCAGGACTCGAAGGTGGTACATTTGTTAAGGCGTCTGCTAAGTGAGAACTTTCTTGATGAGTTTTGAACAATCATCAGAAAGTAGTACTTCTAATTTTCATGCTTTATGGTATTAATTTGGACAAGGCAGAGATTCCCTTCATACTTAATACTGACCTTAGTTGATAATCAAGGGTATTACTGTAAAGTTATTCAAGTCGCTGATGACCGTATAATGTTCGGACTATGTATTCTTAACCAAGCAGTCCAGCTTAGTAGGGAAAAAGCATTGTGCGTAGGACTTTATGTTAGAGCCTAAACTAATCAGTGTCATGATTTATTCATTTCATCTGTGCTCGATATAATGATATTGCTGTGATTATCAACTCGTTAATAATTTCTCTTTGGTGATCCCTGAGTTGCTGGAAATTTTATTCAAACATGCTTTTTTTGTGAAGTAACGTTCCATCACAGAATTACAAGAAGCCTTATCGATCTAACATGAACTTGGATTTAGAACTCCACCTCTGTTTTTACTTCCTCACCTGTAAAAAAATCGGAAATGCTTTATTTAATAAATAGTGGTTCAGTAACTTACCTAGTAAAGTCATCATAATTTAGTTTCCAGTAGTACCCACAATTTGATCTTATTATAAAGTTTACTGTTAGCAGTGTAGATTAGCTATCGATTTTCTTACAAATCCACCTTTTAGGTAAGATTTAAGGTAAGTCTTCATAACTATTTCCAAAACAGCAGTAAATCAAAATTAATTGAAATGTACTGTAGTTTGACAGGTGACTATAATAATACCTCACGGTTTACTATAGCAACTCACCATATTTGTAGTCTTTTTTCAGTGTGCTGAAGGGACACTTAATTTAGGTCCTCCGAACCTAGAGGATTTTCTAAAGCACTTTAATGTATTCAGTAGACAGAAATGCGCATGAATTCTTCCAGAAGTGTATCAATTTTCATTTACCATACTCTGTAAAAGTGTATGAGGACAAGAATAGAAAAAGAAATATTTCCATGACGAGCTGCTTACACTGGTTATGCATTAAAAATAATTCAGTCTTTTACAAGTAAAACTGATGCCTGTTTTATATAGTAATACCTAAATCCAAGTTTATCAGTGTGACAATATGCTCATTACTTATAAATCTTTGAATCGGTATGAAACTGACAGTTTTTTCACGTTTTGAGGAAGTATTTATTTGGGTGTTGTTAATTAGTGGGTAGTTCTTCGGAAGATGAAAGCAAATTACTGAAAATTTTCGACAGCTTGAAAGGAATTTACTTTGAGCAGCCTACTTCTGCCCGGTGAATAGTACGGTCCTGCAAGAGATAGTCACTTGAAACTGACATTTATGTTTCAATCTACTCTTTATATTGTTTCTTTTAATTTAACAACCACATATGCGTTAACTTGAAATGCTGCACACTTAATTCAAAGCCATTCGCAAATACCGGGGTCCTAAACCAAATGCCTAGTAGCCAAATAAATAATTGGGATAAATACTATTTCTATGACTGACTAATGAAGGGATAAAATTTATTACTGTGGGTAGAATAGTTTGTTTAGAACAAGTTAAAGTCCTACTAGATGATAAAAAAGAAAAGATTTCTACACAGCATCAAACCTCATGCAGAAGATAGATTGCGTCATCAAAATAAAATATTGAAGAATACTGACTTCACACCGATTCGACGTTGATAAGAAGATGTAGAATTCAAGTAATTCACAACATTTTTCTGAATAAATCCACCAGATTTATTCAATGAAGGATGACAAAACATTACAAGGTAACTGAGATAATAGAATTCATACCAGAATGTGCCCCGATATTATTATAATATTTATTATTTGACCCTTGGGTTCCTAGTGAAACATAGGGCTTCACTAGCACGTCGTCATTCCACTCTCTTCTCTCCAGTCTTCTTAACCTAACTCCACCACTACCCACAAGCTTTCATCTCTTCCTCACACAATCTCCTCCATGTCATCCTTGGATGCCCAACTCGTCGTTCCTCCTTTGGGTTCCACTGAAAGGCCAGGTCTGGTGCGTGACGTCCTCAAACCGTCTTCTCAGTGTATGTCCAATCCAATCCATCTCCACTTTCCTCTGCATATTTGTTGGGTAATAGGTTCTTGGTTGGTTCGTTGACAGACAGTCAGAGTGAGTTCCTTGTTGATTATTCCTATTATTCTGGCCATATATCTGATCTTCAGTATCGAGAGAGCGTGGGCAGCAGGTGTTGATGTATGTCTGTAGTTTTTTATTAATGCTTTTCTTAACGCGTCAAGCCTCTGAACCATCACACAGAAATAATGATTTGAGTGAATTAGTGTGGAAAACCTATATTTTGTTCAGGTTTTGAGCTGAGTGGAGTGGAGTGCAGTGCAGTGGAGTGCAGTGCAGTGCAGTGCAGCGCAGTAGATCTCCACACTGGTTTGAGATGAATGCAGGAAGGCCTGTCTTGCTGTCTTTCCGATCCTGACTTCGACGTCATGTGTCCCTGTGTCGCCTGTAGATGGAACGATGTTGCCTTGTCTAGGTGGCTGAAAGAGACTACTTGCTTTAGATTTCTCCAGTTGAAGATGATTGGTGCTTGTTGTTGATGCTAGTGTTGGTTGGGTATCTTCATCACCTCTGTCTTCTCCACATTCACCTGAAGTCAGTTCCGTCTTCCATTGCTGCCTTGCCCATTCTCTATCAAATTGTTAGTTTTCGCCTGTAGATTATCGAGTTTGTGCGACATTCAACAATAGTCATCATCGATGAAATCCAAATCTTCTAGGTTATTTTCATGTGTCAAACAGTGTATGCCCGTCTTCTCGTTCCCCACAGTTTGTTGCACGATCCAGTTCAGTCCAATCGACCAGAATCAGGAAGATCATGGGTGATAGTAGGCAACCTTGTCTTACTCCTGTCTTCACTTCAAAGGCATCACTGAAATTTGCATTGTGAATCACTTGGCATGTGTTGTCTTCAAATAGCTATTGAATGAGATTGATGAAGTTCTGTAGCACTAATGGAGTAGTGTTGAAGCAACTGCCTGCCAAATTACTTCTCGGTCGACGCCTCGATTGAAGGTCTTTTCAAAGTCAATGGAGTTGAGGTGAGGACTTGACTGCTACTCTATACTCTGTTCTATGATGATAATGCGTAGCGTATCGTTGCAATTTAATCAGCACATGACGCGTCTCAGTACTTTTCTTGGTGTGACAGGGACAGGAGCATGATTCCGTGTCAGTTCTTGTTCTTACAAACACTAACGTCTCCCTTCTTTCAACATTTGACGTGATGGTCCTGCTTCCAATCACCAAGTACCTTTCCTTCCTTTCTTCCAAACCTTTTGCAGTAGTGGTATGAGCATGTCCTCTATTGTCTCTGCATCTGTTTCCAGTGCTTCTGGAGGAATTCCATCTGGTCCTACTGCTTTCCTGACTTTCAGCAACTTTATGACATCGGGACTTCACTTTGACTTTTGTTCGAGGGTCTGTGTTCACTGATAGTTGTGTGGCTGGACTGCTGATGATATTTGTGGACGAGTTGCAGGTTGTGTTGTTGTGGTTGTTGGTTAATTCAAGAGTTTTTTTGAAGTGATCAGCCCATTGTTTCCTTTGTATCTCGTCTTTGTTAATTATGTTCCCTTCACTAACTTCGATTGGTTTCACCATGATTGATATCTTCGCAGATAGTAAAGTGGTTACTTGATATAATTTTGTCAGGTCTCTATCTCTCCTACCTGCTACGTGTTCTGCTTCACTTGCCAGTGTGTCTTAGAAAAGTCTATTGTCTTTCCATGCACCCTTCTTCACTTCTTTGTCCAGTGTGGTGTTTTATGGGTTGTGTTCAGTTCCTCTTTTCGTCGTTTATCCCTACACTGCACTGGTTCATCTTCTGCTTCACCACCTGCCTCTCCTCTACCAGCTTCGCTGCATCCGTGGAGACCCATTCCTTGTCTTGCTTATATTGTTATGCAGGTTTGCTTCCACGTAGTTTTCACAGATTTCCAGTGTTCTTCCAGGCCGGGTTCCTCGGGGATGTTGCCTAATGTCTCCCATCTTGTCCTGATGACTAAATCACGTGTAGATGTTATTTTTAGTTTCGTCCTTCAGTTGAGTTTCTGTTCTGGGTGGGTGTTGAACTTGAAGTGTGGTCTATCACCCACTTCTCTGAAAGATTTCAACTTGCTTATGAAGGTAGGTTCCTTTCACTGGTTATTAGTGTGACCTGGTGTCTGGTGAAGTGCGTGTCGCTTTGTGAATATCCTTGTGTTTGTACACACTGCCTTCAATCACAAAATCGTTGAATGCACAGAAATCTGCAAACAGTTCTTGATGTTTGTTCATTTGACCGAGTGCTTCGCGACCCATGATTGGTTTTCTTCCTGTGTTGCCTGCTCCCAGTTTGGCATTCGCGTCACTCATTGGAATGAATTTAGATGTTGCCAACTGAGGTGTGTTCTTGTCCACTACTGATTGCAGTTATCTGTAGAATTCCTCCTTCTTCTCTTGGTCTGCATTATTCGTAGGTGCATTGTATTGGCATTGTATGTTTGTGAATTTCCTTCCTTTTGATTTGAATACTGCTATCATGATTCTGATCCTGTAGGAGGAGATTGTTTCGCATTGTCTGAGAGCATTTGATGCTGTTTGGGACATGATGATGGCGACTCCATAACTCAGTATGCTGGTGGTTGTCATGTCATCTTAGTGACAATATCGGAGTATATTATTGACTCCTCTCCATCTGATAGATCAGATTCGAGAGTGCACTTGCATTCCATCTGCTTTGAAAGATTTCCAGCCTTCCATTTCAATGCCATACCTTCTCATCTCGTTTGCAATCTGGGCTGCGTTGCTGGGTTCAAATATTGTGCGGACATTCCATGTCTCCATTCTTACTTTCACTTTCATCGAGAGAAGAGGAGATACATCGGGAAATTGGCTTCCTGAAGTCTTTCACCAATCGGTGTCGTTTCGTCTCCTTGATTCCATCGAGGAATGAGGTTATTTATATTTTTGTATTATTTTGTGCTTTGAAGTTTCTTTATTGATTGTATTGGTTTTCCGGATTAGGGTTGCTAGTCCTATGCCCTCACTTTTCTATTTATCTGGGCTTATGATCTGTTAGCAACTAGTGAACTAGTAGACTAAGCAAGGTTATGCTCTGATAAGCAGATGTTTATTCTCTATCACTTATCTGTACATTCACTACTCAATAGAATTGTAATTTAATAAATGGATTCAGGAAATTAAGGTCATAGTATTTCATCCCAATAGGCTAAAGATAAGGTGATAATCGATTAGTTTTATGATTTTAATTTCAATTCAGGTAGACATTTGGAAACATACCTGGATAGGATTAAGCAGGCTATCGACACGGCTTCATTGTATGTAGTATTTAATATCCCTCTAATATAAGATTAAAAGTTAAGCACCGTTTTGAAATATTCAGCTGGCTTGGCGAGATAGCTGGGTTAACACAACCCTGTGTTACCTTGCATCCAGATACTTTAGCTCAAGTAACAAAAGTTGTAGCGTGGAAATTAGAAATAAACAATAAAACAGAACAACAAGAATAGGGAATTGTTTTGATATCGAAAAACACTGTTGGATATCTGAATAGTCGTTACATGGCGAAGAACAAAACACGTGAATCGAAGCCGGTTTGCTCAGTTTACTACCATTCACTGTTGCTTCCAACTTCCTCAAAGAAGCAGTTTGGACTTCCCTATACTATCAAATAGTAAACCAGAGGATTTTATGTCGTATTTTGATGTTACTTCCCTTAATTTACTGTCACTTCAGGATGACAGACAGCTTTCAGGTAAATAGACTTTACATTCAAAGTTATATAACAGACATTTATTTTCCATGATCTCAAAGGGTCATAAAGAAATTTCTGAAGTCTTATGATGTCATAGGGTACACTTCTTCAGGCAATAAAACCTAAAGAATTATCTGCACGTAGGTCAATAGTTTATCTATACTTTAAATATCATACTAAGAAATCATAACAGCATTTTTGATAAGCTTATCCGTCATCCTAAACACTACACGTTAATTGGCAGAAAACCCTATCTTATGTAAGTTTATTACTCGTTGCCTAGTAGAAATACATCTGAATCACATGGCTCCGAAGCTTAACGCTCCACCATTAAGTGATTTAGCCTAACCGAGGGTAATAAATCTTGTCTAATAATTCCAAAGATTTTATATCAATAGCAGTACACGGTAATGTCGTATCACATAGACTAGGGGTTAGATTGGATAAAAGACAAGGTGTAATCGGCACTCACCACTCAGCAGCTGAATCTGTTATCATGTTGGCCTGTACAGCTAGTGAACTATACGTTTAACTAGTCTGTATATTGAGAAAAGTTTTCAAATTGTACATGGATTCAGAATGGACGAAGACGTCAATAAGTAAAGAACATAATTTCTTGATATTATGTGTTTGATAAATAGACGAACGTGAGCTTGTACCTTACTATAGTGTTTGTTCTTCATTGTTCCCAGAGACTGTAATCATGACTATGGTGGTAAAGCTTAAATTCAACAAATGCACACTGAATCTATGCTAAAGTTTTGAGGTGTAGAATTGACTTAGTACATGCTGGTCACTCGTTGTTTTTTCATGGTTGTCGTTGAAGCCTTCAGAATGAATATCTGGTGTCTGTTTGTAGTCTTATCATGGCGTTTCAGGTGAATAAACATCTTTCTCTCGTTTTATTCATGTTGGTGATGAGTAGTGGAATCCACGATGAGCGTCCCCTCCTATAAAGGACTCGTCAGCTGAATGTACCTGTACCCCAGTGATTGATGTTGTTTCCACGAAGGCTCGAACCCAGCACCCATCACTATGAATGCCAAAGCGATATCCACTAGGTTACTGGGGCATGAGAACCACCACTCGTGCAACGTGTATCAGTTCTCTTTATGATACTTGTAATTTCCCGTTCGCTATACAGAGTTGAATTGCTCAACCTCTTTCTCTTGTAAATGTTTTTATAAGTTGATGACTGAAAGTGTTTTCCGAATTCAAAATGCAAATGCTTTCGAAACAACTGGATTATAGAATATTGCACAATAAGAAATATAACAATGACTTACAGATGTTTAAGAAATTTATTCTTTTTGTAGTCTATAACGGATATATCGGACTCAGAAGCATCGTGTGTAAGAAGATTAAGTAATTTACCTGAAGAAGTTCTACCACCAGTTATCGCATCTTTGTTTCCCAACACACCATCTGTTTTACGTTTTGTTGATAATAAACGAACTGGTAAGTGGGTTTTATTTACTTTTTTTTAAATAATATGTCTTTTCTTTCTTATATAATACTGGGTAATGATTGTAGGTGAAATGGAAATTTGGACCGCAGCCGGTTTCGAACCAGCGACCACCGGGTTTGCAGCCCGATGCTCCACCGACTGAGCTACAGGGTCCAGTTGGCAGAGCTTCGGGCTGCCAACCCGGTGGTCACCAGTTCGAATCTGGTCACGGTCCAAATTTTCATTTCACCTTCAATTATCAACCAGTAACAATACTGGTCTGTCAAACTATCTCAGATAGTTAAATGATAATTAAGTTTTAATTCTTATGTGAAACGTTTTGCATATTTAGTTTTGGTTCTTAATGGTTGGAAGTGCCAGTGAGATGTGAAAGTGTATCTTACTGTCTCTGGCCTTTTTCGAAGAAGAATATCTACAGCCTTAAAGAAGTATATGTACCATATACGATTTAAATTCACACTGATCATTGACACGTTTAAAGACGCTACATTTAACGTATCATGGTTACAGATAACTTGCTTTAGGACCGAATTACATACCTAAATTGGTCACCAGATAGTCGTGATAAGGGAGTCGACTTTTGTTCACTACCAAATTTTAGCCAACTTTGAATGTCTAACACTAACAGTAGTAAGTTTTGTACTTTGCTGCTAAAATTAATGGATACATCAAAAAAATTCTTTTTAAGTTTTCCGTTAACAGCATGGTATTCTTTGAAGTTGGATCAACGATTTGTATAGTTTTAGTTCTCGACTGTTAATACCTTAAAAAGGTCGTGTATCTCATGAAATAAAGCGTCTGTATTACCAACACCAAGTAAACTACCGAGGTAAAAAAATATCTCCGATTTTTTAGTAACTGCATGACATGCGATTGGACTCGGTCTCTGTACTTCCTTTTGCAGACCGGTATACAATACAAATTTTGAGCTATTCATGGTGTAGACCCGTGAGATGGTACTGTGAAGCGATTGAACGAGCTTTTGTTGGTGATTAAACATAAATATATTTCCAATGTTAACTGCATCCAGTTGTGTGGTATTATATGCTAGTATTCACTTCAAAACAATAAGAAAGGAGGACACATTCTTCTGATTTTATTTTTTGTATCATTTTCTAGCAGCACTAACTAGTTAATTATGCAGTAAAATAGTTCTAGTGGGTAGGGGGAATTAAAAACCCTTGCTTAAGTATACCAAACAACTTGAACACTTCTCCACTCCTCAAAAGACGGTCGTGGTTTCTAGTGGCTTATTATGAGTCTATGCACTGTTACTGGAATAATATTATTGGTAGGTTTGAAAGTTTTAACATAAATTCAGCTACTAAAGAGTCTCAAAATGTAATTACGCAGGCGTAAAGTGCTCTTTAGTTTTCAAATATTCGCCACACAATTTCGCTTTGTAATGAAAACTACCCTGCAAACAATGTTTTGTAAACAAACTGAACGGATGAGTCGTAGTTATCATTATTGTGGAGTGAAATTGTTAGATGAGGGAAATGCTAGTAAGAAGGCAGATAATCCGTGCACTTTAAGGTATACGATTATTGGTAAGTGTTTTGTATGTGTATGATCAATGACTGTTTTAAAAGCTAATCCTATTTCGAGTAGGACTAAGATGGAATATATTTCATAGTGATCAAATGGAATAATGGTACCACTCGGTGAACTTTTTGACCGCATAAGTCAGCTGTATGTATGAGTGTTATTTTCTTGGTTGCGGTCTGTGAGACATCTGAATTGGATGTTTGGAGATTAAGTGATGCATTTGGGAATCTTTCATAGTCGTACTAGTGCATCTCTGCCCTCTTCTTATATAAATATTGAATATTGACTAATTCTGTATCCACTTTCTTTCTGTCCTGCCTTTTTACGTTTCTTTTTTTTTCATTGCTGATAGCAATATTTTCATTTTTTATTCACCTCTTATTAACTTTCAGTTGACGTAAAGTAACCCGAAAAAGTGCGCAACTTACCTATATCACAAGTAGCTTGTCTCTCTTTCTATTTGTGCAAAAAGATTTTTGCTTCAATATTATAATACGATAGGTTTCAAATGTGATCGAATTTATACTTAAGCCATATATATACAAACAATAATATTCATATGCGCGTCAGTTTACCCGTCAAGAAAAACTATTGTAAAATATGTTTTGTGTCGCTATATTCGGCAACTTGAACCGATCCTTAGTTGGAAAGTATATAGGTTCATATTCTTTACTGAGTGAATATTAAGTTATTTCAATGAATTGTAGCCGAGAAGAATTCTGTTTGCTGCCGACTTAAGAATAACCTGCTTCATATTACCTTTTTTAATTACTCTATTGATTATTTACATCTTAATTCCTAAAACTTGTCATCATGATTTACTTAAAATCTATAATTATCGTTCACCAACTTCCCACCACTTGATTGATATTTTGATTGAACTGTAAACCTATATACGAGTTAAGAGCCCAATACGGAGACCCAATTTCATTTGTTATCTAGCAAACGCCAGGTTGAATGCCCTGGCTAACACAGTTTTCTTCGCTGTGTTAGATAATTCTCAATTTAAGCTAAGAAGCTGATTGACTGTGACAGTATCGTTATTTATGGGACAGTCTTATACGCTGTTAGTCTTGTGTGCCGTTAGATATTCTGTCTTTGTTTCAAAACAGTATAATATTTTAAAATCTGTTGACTAACTTCATATTTGTTGTGCAATCTAACGGTTAATATGTATTCCTCTGAGCAAGTATTTGTAGTTTAATATACTCGGCCTACTTGATGTGTTCTGATGAGTACATAGTTTTTACACATTTTTTATTAGGATTTCATAGTTTATATACTGTGGAGTATATTGCTCTTCTTGGATTGTTAAGAAAAACTAGTATCAGCGGTTTTTATCAAGTATGTTCCAAGTAAGGTGAAATTCTTGAGACATGATAAGTCGAACTAATTTTCATTCTCAATTAATTGTATTAAGTCAACCTGTGGTGCATAAAAGTAGTTTTTATTGTGAAGTTTATAGTTTTTTTTTCAAAGGGAAACAGTTGACACGATTATTCTGTCCTTCGAAAACTAGTCATACTGGTTTAATTATTCTGATGTGCCATGTTTTCGGTTCTCTAATTTTTTCATACTTCTGATTTCTTCACTTTTTGGGGAGCATTGCGGTAGATTAGCAGCAAGTGTTTGTTAAAAATTACAACCAATGTTGTTAAAAATACTTAACCTTACAATCATGTCACAATTTCAAACATCCTTCTTGTTCGCCATTCCAATGTTCACTGCTGTTGCTGCCTATATTTGTATTTGGTATTTTATCTTCTTCCCTCAATAATTTTTTACCAGTCGGTTGCTGTCACCTTTTGTGTTTTTTGACGCTGCATTAAATATTACTGGTAAACATTCTTATAAATAGCATCTATCACACTTTCGCTTCTTTATCTCCCCTCTTGTTGAGTTCCTCTCTGTTAGCCGATGTGGGTCATTTAATCTAAACATGATTCATGGCTGTTCCAATTAATGTGCTACTGGTGTCTATCTGATTATCCCATAGGGTTCTGTATTGATTATACATAATAGAGTTTATGCTTTGGTTATTTGTTTTGTCTTCAATTTGTTACTGCAGTAGTAAAGACGTTTTTTAATGATTAAGTTCACTTTCTGGAAAATTATATGCTCAATTTTTGAGTATTTATTTCGATGGGTAGGAAAATTTAGTAACCCAAATGAACAATTTTTCACAGTATGTAACAAAATTTAATTTTGATTTCTTTATTAGCAAAATTTTCGGTTAAAGAACGTATGGTCTCTTATAAGTTAGGTAAAGAAATACGATACAATTGTACCAATTTCTCGTTTCTTAGTTTAATGATCAAATTTTGTTGGAAATTTTTTTTGCTACTTCCAAAATAATATTTAAGGACATTTAGTGTAGAATACTGCATTGAAGTATTTAGCATTAAGTGCAATTACAAACAGTGATCTATCTTTTTCTATCAATCAAAGCAATCAATTTTGTGATACCTTGTAAATTATTAGTCCACTTTTAAGGATCCCAATTTCTATTCATTACATTGAGGTGATTGGAGACTACAGTCTTTTACAGTTACTTTGGTATTTCTACCAAGTGAATTATTAAACATAATTTTGGTGATATAGAGGCAGATGTCGAGAAATTTCACAGTTCTTATTGAGACTAACACAATTAGCTCTAATCGACTCGCTGTATTCTGCAACGGTTTCGTGTAAAACTTGTGATAGTTATGTTTATTAAAAGGCCCAATCAAGAGAACATCATGAACAATGGTGTTTATTTGAACATGAAAAGAAAATCATAATAGAATTACGTATTCACATTCTGCTTATTCTTGTAATTTGCATCATAAAGTGTAAATCTGCATAAACATCTGCTTTGGTTTCATAAATCATCAATTCTCTATGGTATGCGCTAAGGAATGACATAGTCTTATCCACCATGCTGCATCAACCCAGTCAACCTGCATATATTGCTAATGATTTTGATTATAAAAGAGAGACTGAAATGTCATGTGTTTAAGATATGTTTACCCTACCAGATAACAGCGGCGACTCATTTACAAGCAATTATATCGTTCAAAAATGTCGTACACCTGTTTTGGTCGTAAATGAAACTTTTAATCATGTTAAAAGTTTGTCGACTGCTTAAAACTATATCCTAGCGTATTCATATCCTTGTTCATAGACATAACAAGAAATTACAGCTTTTGAACCCACCACATTTTCCATCGAACTTGCTCTGCAGTGATGAATGAATTCCTATGATACTTAAGTTCATTTGTATTCAACTGATTTTATTGTGTAATTATTTAAGAAACTTTTCTTATTCTATTCCATTCCAGTACCAAAACTGCCGAAACCTTACAGATATCGACTTCTTTGGCGTCCAAGTGCTATTACACCTAACGTGGTTAAACGTGTCCTAAGACGTTCAAACTTTCGTATTACATTAAGTAAGAGGATATTTCTTCAATGATATACAAATGTTGTTTCTTTCAGTATTATGTATTGATGCATCCTGCTTTCGCTTGTTTCCATTTGATGAAACAACGACTTCTTTTCGTTCGGGAAGCCTTAGATAGTTATCTTTTATGTAGAAAATAATTTGAAAGGATTGTTAGCAAAACAGAAGACGGCTTCAACTATCCGCCTTACTTATGTGAAATTTTGAATGGTTGATTCTTTCACAGTTTAGAACTCACGGAAAACTAATAAGGCAAAATGTCATTAAGGAGTCCATACAGTCTTTTATGGGTTTGCATTCCAGCCAGTCAGTGAGAAAATCACACATTGCGGTCTAGCTAGTCTGCACATGTGAAAATAAGGTATAAGGAAAACATGTGATCTTCAAGCATTTTGGTTCTCACTTGAAGATGATTATTAAACTTAGCTTGAACAAGTTTTGAAGTCAATATCGTTAAGGCTTGTAGATGTTATGCATAGCAATTAACTCTTTTTGTTATATAAAAAATATTGATAAGGATTACTTACTACCTATACGTTTTCCGTTACAGCATACCAACTCATTTAGTCAATAAGATTGGATATTCGGAGTGTATAAGGCAGGATAATAGCAATGAATTTAAATATGTTTGCACAGATAAATAATTCAGGCCTGATAAAGCATTCGCAACAAGAGAGATCAGAACTGTTAGCTTTCGATACCTTACTTCTTGAAAAGCTATTCACTGAAGACTTATGCGAATCAGACTTATGGTTGATATATAGACGGTGGATACCACTACTTAAGATAAGACATTTCACATTTTTCAAGTTTTAATGGGTTTATCTAACACCAAACAGTGAGTTTAAACCACTTGTTACAGTTTCCAAGATTTCTCGACTAGGATATTTTACTATTCGGTATAGAAAATACTTGTAATGGCTATTTTCTTAACATAAATTGCCTTCTGAATTAGTTCCGAACATGTTTACCAACGAACTGTATTATTACAATTCATATTAGCTGAAAACGCATGACTAACTCATCTTGTAAACAGAAAGTGACACATATATGAAGATAGATTCCATCTTTGTGTCAACAAAATCATTCAGTAAACTAGGTTAATTCAACTGTTAACCTCTTGGAATTTTATTCTTCCGGTTATAATTTGTTGCAGTGTTTTTATTTTAGAATCACCTGAATGGATTGGATACTATGGAAATCATCTAAAACCATTCGGTTTTCGTTCGATACGTGAATATCAAAAAGTGAATCACTTTCCTGGTTCATTTCAATTAGGTCGTAAAGATAAACTATGGATAAATTTAAGTCAAATGCTTTCACGTTTCGGTAAAAAGACAATTGACTTTGTACCGAGAACATTTTGTCTGCCTGGAGATTTAAAATTGTTAAAAGAGTTTTGGACGCGTTGTGAGACGACAAATATGACAATGTCAAATACTACTGGATTAAACTCACGACCTAGATGGATCATGAAACCGGTGAGTGCGTAATACTTATTCACAAAATACTCATTAGCCTTTCTTTTACATAGGTACAATTTAAAACAGGTCTATTTTATAGTCATATTCACTGAATACAATGTTAATTGAGTATAGCTAGCATTACAGTATCCCTAGTTCTCGCAAGTAATGGGCAATGTACTACAACAGTACGTAATAGCAAAATCATCAAAATGACCTGAAAACAGGTAACCAGAAACAGAATAGGAAAGTAGTAAGTTCTTATAGTTATTTCATTGAAAACCTATACGTTCTTATCAGTAGTTAAGAAGTTTTGAATCATGTTAACCTCGGTTAGCAAACGTTTGAAAGCATACAGTTCTCCATATTCCTCGAGCTGATACTCCCTTCTTTTTACCCTTGATCTGTGTCTTTATGTAACCATCTTTATGAATTGTGTATCTTTCTTTTTACTTCATTTGTTGCATCTAATATTAGGGTTTAGTTTCATTGTCTGTTTTATCTTACTTAAGTTGTGTCTAAAAGACACATGGAGATTTACGTCTTGTAGACTAACCAGATTTTTGTTTTTCATCATTTCTCAGATACAGTTCGAGTTTTTTTTGAACATTTTTTTGGTCACCATTCAACCTATCCACTTGGAAAAATAGATGGCTATGAAAATTAATTTTATTGGTTCCGAAAAAAACTAATCTACTGCATAGTCTTAACTAACTTAGTGTTTATAATGTGTTGTCATAAGAAAATAATATTCCTGGCTCTTGATTATCATATTTGAGCGTTTAAGTTTCATAACGATATAGTACCTGTATGAAAAGTTGTCGACATGATACTCCATTCTAAATGTATTTTTCTGTCTTAAAGACAAGGAATTAATATAATAATCTTAGTTGATTATTCTTGAAAGTATAAAATCCTGCCTGTGTATCGGTAATGAGGAATATTGATACTGGATGATGATTGAAGGTGAAATGAAAATTTGGATCGCGGTAGGACTCGAACTAGCGACTACCAGGTTTCTGGCTCGGTGCTCTGCCAACTGAACTACAGGGCTATGAGGAACATTTTATCTCTAAGTTAGCCAGCAAAACCTCGAGTGGAGGTGGACAGTGACCAGTTATTTTGTTGCTTCTTAGATCTTTTCGTTTACTGTCCTTCTCAATCGTTTTCTAGTTCAGGCATGAGACTTTCAAGTCTCTTAAAGAAGGCCATTTTGACACCAAGATTTCTTTGATACAACAAAAAGTTTGAGTAGTGCATTTCAGTCTTATAAATTTTGACATTATCTGACCCCCAAAGAAATATTCCTTGTTGCTTACACCTTTGTAAAGTTCACCTTGTTAAGTTTAAATCCCTGTCTTCGCCTTCTATGCATTATTTGTTTTCCGTTTCTAAGACTGACACTAGTTTTCCGTTAATTTTTCTTACACTTTTGTCATGTTAATTTATTTATTTGTCTGGAGAATACTTAACCGCAAGTTGTTTAGTTATCGAAAACATCTTCAATCCAGAATTGTCTTTTTCTTCTTTTGAGTTCGTTAAATGGTATAACGACATTTTGCTTCAAAAACTTAGCGATAATGTGAGATCATTACAATGATATTTTCATGAAGTTTGTTTGTAATTTCGAACTCTAAAGTTCCTTACAAAATATGAGATTCGGTCCAATAGGTGGCTTGAGCAATACGACAGATCATAATGAGCAAAATTACTCTCGAAAGAAAGAGAGAACTTAGGTTTTGGCTAAACTTCTTTATTTATAAAATGTAATTTATACTATGTGGAATGTAAGCCTACGCAATATCTGGGCACTGATTGCTGTTGACTAAATTAGGCTAAGCTGTATGTAGTGGATATTCGCTTCGAATTTTAGTTGATATCGGGATCGTCTAACACGTCGTGATCAAGAGAAAAATGCATGCTTCATAATGGTCATAGATAAAACAAACATATAATAAGTTTGCAATCAGCAGGAAGCCACAGGCCTAGGTTTTGTGCTTATTGGTGCTCGAGTATGCACACTCGATGCTACAGATATTCCGCCATAGATTCGAACCCTCATCACCCAGTGTTGTATTGAGTGACGCCACTGAACTTTTCGGGCCACGATTGACCTCCTGTAGAATTGGATTGGATAGATGAATAGATCAATAAGATTTGGTTAGCACTCAGGACCAGACAATGTGAAATAGGTTGCTGTCCAGTGACCAGTCAATGTAAAACGTATTATGTTGTTCCTTTTGAAACCGGGGTATGTTAAGTGACCTTAAGTTATTTATCACTGACGCTTTCAGAATACTATTTGCGTATGGTACAATCATTGAAACGACAGTGCCTAATTTCAAGGTGAATTGCAAATTCAGAGGCCTGCGGATAAATTTACTGTCTTATTTCTTTGTACGGATAAGATATTGTTTTATTCCATACCATCCTATTCTTTACTTTAGCTATTTTGATTCTTTGGGATTAATACCAGCACCGGCTACATTGTTACCTCTGTCTATTCGAATTCCAACCCAGTGACTCAATGACAACTTGTTCGCTGAGAAACCTGAGAGTCCTAGGTTCGAACCCTGGGGGGGGGCATGGGTACCCACTAATGAGAAATCCTATACTAAGATAAAACAGCTGCTCAGTGCTCCTAATTATTCAATGGGTCCCTAATTGATGCCAGTTAGTGAGGAATACCAGGCTGCATTCGGCTATTTTTTATGTGCTGTTTCTGAAACTTGAAGCAATGTGCAGTTGCATTTAAACTTGTGTAATCTGTTTCACTTTTCTGCACTTTGTTTGTTGTTTGATTTCACGGCACTTCTGATAGGTATCACAGGCATCATGTCTGAGTACAAAGCAAAGAACCTGTGTGGGTCACTACTTCTCATTTTAAAGCACTGCTTAATGAACAAATTGAATCATGATCAAACTATCAAAAACTTAAAGAGTAAAACAGAGTCAACGAGTATAAGTAAAATTCGAATAACTAAAAAGTAACTAGCACTATTATTCACTAAAAAGATATCGACTGTATAATTGTTATTCTCTTATTTGTTCTATAGCCTGCGTCAGCTCGTGGAATTGGAATCAAGTTAGTTCGTTCTTGGTCAGACATTCCTAAACAACGCCGTGTAATTATTCAGTCATACGTAAACCAGCCATATTTAATTAATGGGACAAAATTTGATATAAGACTTTATGTCTATGTGGCAGGATTTAGCCCATTTCGTGCTTATGTTTATCGAGAAGGCTTAGTAAGATTCGCTTCTCAAAGGTAAACCTTGTTTCATATATTTCTGTTTAGTTTTATTTTATTGTTATCAACTTCACATGCATGAATCTAACCGGAAAACCTTAATCTATTATTTAAAGTGAAACGGGAATTAACTCATAGACCAGTAGGAAAGTTAGTGATCAGCTGAGTATTCACCACCGCTAAGTTTTTAAACCATTGTCTAGTCTAAACTTCTGTTTGGTGGTAGCTAAACAATAGAATGCAGGCTGGTATGCTGGCGTATGCGACAACCATTGTTTGAGGGTTATATATATTATCTGTGTGCAGATGTCTCAATTCTGCCACTGGTTTACAAATTAGCGTTCTACATTCCAATTTCGTCAAGACTCATCAAAACAATGGTTCACAAAGCTGACTGACTAGGTTCGATTAATGAAACACCTGCTGTTTACTTCGAAAACTGTACATAAACTAGTGGAAATTTCGAGGAATTAGCGAAAGAAGCCTAGAATTTATGTTGGAAAATAATGTTTAACTATATTCAATGGTCCATAGGACGATATGGCAATATCGAAAGGTAAACCTTTGACGTCCAAATTTTGCTGGATACATCAACACAACAAGATACAGTTAGATTTATAGGGGAAGTTGTGGTCAAGACAAAGTTTGACCTTCCGACTACGCTTTAAAGTGAAAGCATATACCTCTTAAGCAACAACACTTACTATTAATGAGTTTGCTTTGTGAGTCAGCTGATAACTTATCAAATATTAAAATTATCGTAGAACGTTCAAGCGGTATTTTGGCGCTCCAACCTAGTTCTTGGCTTTTTGGCTATAATTTTTATCAGTTCATTAATTGTATTCACCTAGTTATTCGATTTTCCAGCAAAGTATTTATTCTGTTTTTGTCTATTTATATCTGCTTTGTGCTTCATTTGTAGATATTCTACTTCAATTCAACAATTGAGAAATCGTTTCGTTCACCTAACAAATTACTCTGTCAATAAGTATAATAAATCTGAAGAAAGTTTTATATCCAACCATAAGTGGTAAGTGATGAATAGGTAGAGAGTTAACAATCTGACAGAAGTGTTCCTAAGTAAAAGGTTTTTACAGAAAACAAGTCAGAACACTCAACTATTCATGACATTGAGAGAATTCTACCACCCAATTCGCTTCACCTGGTAAAAATTTAAATGTCTGATTGTTCTCGATTTCATGCCAGTGGTTGTTTTCATCTGTACGAAGAGGAAAAAATTGTAGCCTACATTCTATCAGTCTATTTCAAACAGCCTATCCCTAATGTGACACTAAGAAGACGGAAAATCAAATAAATACTCACTTTATAAATATACGGTCCGTTTTTATTATCATTACGCTTATTATTTTTTTGTCCCTTGGGTTCCTAGTGAAACATAGGGCTTCACTAGCACGTAGTCATTCTACTCTCTTCTCTCCAGTCTTCTTAACCTAACTCCACCACTAACCACAAGCTTTCATCTCTTCCTCACACAATCTCCTCCATGTCATCCTTGGATGCCCAACTCGTCGTTCCTCCTTTGGGTTCCATTGTACGGCCTGGCCTGGTCTGGCCGGGCCTGGTGCGTGATGTCCTCAAACCGTCTTCTCAGTGTATGTCCAATCCAATCCATCTCCACTTTCCTCTGAATATTTGTTGGGTGATAGGTTCTTAGTTGGTTCGTTGACAGCCAGCCAGAGTGAGTTCCTTGTTGCTTATTCTTGTTGCTCTGACCATATATCTGATCTTCAGTATCGAGTGAGCGTAGGCAGCAGGTGTTGATGTATATCTGTAGTTTGTTGTTAATGCTTTTCGTAACGCGTCAAGCCTCTGAACCATCACACAGAAATAATGATTTGAGTGAATTAGTGTGGAAAACCTGTATTTTGTTCAGGTTTTGAGCTGAGTGGAGTGGAGTGGAGTGCAGTGCAGTGTAGTAGATCTCCACACTGGTTTGAGATGAATGCAGGAAGGTCTGTCTTGCTGTCTTTCCGATCCTGACTTCGACGTCCTCATGTTTCCCTGTGTCGCCTGTAGATGGAACGATGTTGCCTTGCCTAGGTGGCTGAAAGAGACTACTTGCTTTAGATTTCTCTAGTTGAAGATGATTGGTGCTCGTTGTTGATGCTAGTGTTGGTTGGGTATCTTCATCACTTCTGTCTTCTCCACGTTCACCTGAAGTCAGTTCCGTCTTCCATTGCTGCCTTGCCCATTCTCTATCAAATTGTTAGTTTTCGCCTGTAGATTATCGAGTTTGTGCAACATTCAACAAAAGTCATCATCGACGAAATCCAAATCTTCTAGGTAATTTTCAGGTGTCAAACAGCGTATGCCCGTCTTCTCGTTCCCCACAGTTTGTTGCATGATCCAGTTCAGTCCAATCGACCAGAATCAGGAAGATCATGGGTGATAGTAGGCAGCCTTGTCTTACTCCTGTCTTCACTTCAAAGGCATCACTGAAATTTGCATTGTGAATCACTTGGCATGTGGTGTCTTCAAGTGGCTACTGAATGAGATTGATGAAGGTCTGTGGCACTAATGGAGTAGTGTTGAAGCAACTGCCTGCTAAATTACTTCTGGGTCGACACCTCGATCGAAGGACGTTTCAAAGTTAATGAAGTTGAGGTACAAGTACATTTGACTGCATTCTATGCTGTGTTCAGTGATGATACGTATAGTAACGTAGCCATATGATCCACACATAATTTGTATTTCTTGAAAACATCCAGCCTGTTCCAGTCGTAGTTTGGAATCCGTTGGATTTGTCAGTCACTCCAGGATGATGCGGAATAATATTTTGCTTAATGAGAAGAAGAGTAAGATTCCGCGCCACTTGTTGATTTTCCAAACACTTAGGTCTCTTTGGTTTAGGAATTTGACTTGGTAGCCCTTCTGCAATTCACTAGGTACCTTTTCTTCCTTCCTTCCAATCTTCTGAGGTAGTGGTGTGAGCATGTCCGCTGTTGTCTCTGCGTCTGTTTTCAGTGCTTCTGGAGGAATATCATCTGGTTGATTGATTGAAGGTCTTTTCAAAGTCGATGGAGTTGGGGTGAGGAGTTGACTGCTATTCTATACTCTGTTCTATGATGATAATGCGTAGCGTAGAGTTGCAATTTGATCGGCACATGATGCGTCTCAGTACTTTGCTTGGAGTGACAGGGACAGGAGCATGATTCCGTGCTAGTTCCTGTTCTTACAAACACTAACGTCTCCCTTCTTTCAACATTTGACGTGGTGGTCCTGCTTCCAATCACCAAGTACCTTTCCTTCCTTTCTTCCAAACCTTTTGCAGTAGTGGTATGAGCATGTCCTCTATTGTCTCTGCATCTGTTTCCAGTGCTTCTGGAGGAATTCCATCTGGTCCTACTGCTTTCCTGACTTTCAGCAACTTTATGGCGTCGGGACTTCACTTTGACTTTTGTTCGAGGGTCTGTGTTCACTGATAGTTGTGTGGCTGGACTGCTGGTGATATTTGTGGACGAGTTGCAGGTTGTGTTGTTGTTGTTGGTGGTTAATTCAAGAGTTTTTTGAAGTAGTCAGCCCATTGTTCCCTTTGTATCTCGTCTTTGTTAATTATGTTCCCTTCACTAACTTCGATTGGTTTCACCATGATTGATATGTTCTCAGATAGTAAAGTGGTTCCTTGATATAATTTTGTCAGGTCTCTATCTCTCCTACCTGAAGCCTGTTATGTTCCACTTGCCAGTGTGTCGTAGAAGTGTCTTTTGACTTTCCATGCACCCTTCTTCAATTCTTTGTCCAGTGTGGTGTTTTATGGGTTGTGTTCAGTTCCTCTTTTCGTCGTTTATCCCTACACTGCACTGGTTCATCTTCTGCTTCACCACCTGCCTCTTCTCTACCAACTTCGCTGCACCCGTGTAGATCCATTCCTTGTCTTGCTTATATGGTTATGCAGGTTTCCTTCCACGTAGTTTTCACAGATTTCCAGTGTTCTTCCAGGCCGGGTTCCTCGGGGATGTTGCCTAATGTCTCTCATCTTGTCCTGATGACTAAATGACGTGTAGATGTTATTTTTAGTTTCTTCCTTCAGTTGAGTTTCTGTTCTGGGTGGGCGTTGAACTTGAAGTGTGGTCTATCATCCACTTCTCTGAAAGATTTCAACTTGCTTGTGAAGGTAGGTTCCTTTCACTGGTTATTAGTATGACCTGGTGTCTGGTGAAATGCGTGTCGCTTTGTGAATATCCTTGTGTTTGTACACACTGCCTTCAATCACAAAATCGTTGAATGCACAGAAATCTGCAAACAGTTCTTGATGTTTGTTCATTTCACCGGGTGCTTCGCGACCCATGATTGGTTGACTTCCTGTGTTGCCTGCTCCCAGTTTGGCATTCGCGTCACTCATTGGAATGAATTTTGATGTTGCCAACTGAGGTGTGTTCTTGTCCATTACTGATTGCAGTTATCTGTAGAATTCCTCCTTCTTCTCTTGGTCTGCATTATTCGTAGGTGCGTTGCATTGGCATTGAATGTTTGTGAATTTCCTTCCTTTTGATTTGAATACTGCTGTCATGATTCTGATCCTGCAGGAGGAGATTGGTTCCCATTGTCTGAGAGCATTTGATGCTGTTTGGGACATGATGATGGCGACTCCACAATTCAGTATGCTGGTGGTTGTCATGTCGTCTGGGTGACAATATCGGAGTATATTATTGACTCCTCTCAAGTTGACAGATTGGAGAGTCCACTTGCATTCCATCTGCTTTGAAAGATTCCCAGCCTTCCATTTCTATGCCATACCTTCTCATCTCGTTTTTAATCTGAGCTGCGTTGCTGGGTTCAAATATTGTGCGGACATTCCATGTCTCCATTCTTACTTTCGCTTTCATCGAGAGAAGAGGAGACACATCGGGAAATTGGCTTCCTGAAGTCTTTCACCAATCGGTGTCGTTTCGTCTCCCTGATTCCATCGAGGAATGAGGTTATTTATTTATTTTTTTGTATTATTTTGTGCTTTGAAGTTTCTTTATTGATTGTATTGGTTTTCCGGATTAGGGTTGCTAGCCCTATGCCCTCACTTTTCTATTTATCTGGGCTTATGATCTGTTAGCAACTAGTGAACTAGTAGACTAGGCAAGGTTATTGAGTCCATAGTTATTACTGTTTTTCTGAAGGAATTTGAACACCGAAGCTGATTGAATCATTATGAAAGTAGCTTTCAGTCTAATCCCAGTTTGAGGTTGTTTGGATTTTCTTGTTGTTGATTGGAGCGAATTGATTGGTCTGCATTTGCATATAGGCTTCTGCGCGGATGCCTCTTGATTACCTGTATTTTCAATGATGATACGCCTGATGGATAATGGCTAGCAGTAGAATACAGGAGGCACCTTTCGTCCTATTTGAAGCTTATGATGTATGTGTAACTCCCTCCCAGTGAGCGATGTTGTTTCTAATAAGCAAATAAATAGAGAATTGTTTTTAATTTTTAAACGGGCTGGAATTATATTAAAACTTACTTTCATAACTACACATTCTTTTCATATGTCATCAATTTGTATATCTATAGCAAATATTTTTTACGCCGAAATCTATTACTCCATAGATCATTCTGGTAACAATTGAAAAAATCGGTTAAGCTTCTTCATTTCCGCTGAAAAGTTAGTTCTCATATCCCTTAAAAAAATCGTCATCTGTTATTTCACTAGTAGCTAGAGTGGCCTTTACTATCGCTACACCAAAATGCACGCCTACATTGATTATTGACGAGCCTTATAAGAATTTGTTTTAATTAGTTACCACTTATCAAGGATAGAACAACCCAACAGTATTTAAATTCTTCAGACGCTTTTGAGAGTAGAAATGATTGTGAGGAGTTCAAAACATATCATAACAACTGGTGAACACTAAACATGATGAAGATTGGAAATAAAAATTAATCATGATAAGTGAAAAACTGGAAATAATTTCATACAGGTAGTTGCAGGTGAATTCACTAGGTGTATCACGAATTCGCCATAAGAATAAATTACTTGGCACTTGAGTCTTTGAAAAAGAGCCATAAAGCAAAACGTAGACTGGCTTCATGGTCCTGTTTGTAGTACATTTTGTATTTTGTAAAACCATGTATTCCTTCTGACTGTGACAGATATTTTGATGTCCTATGAAATATCTTTAAGGAAAACTTAGTACTTATCTAGTAATTAATATCTACTGAAATTGAATAAATGAAGTCTGTTACAGTCATTTCACTTTCTGTGCCATATTGATTGGAGGCTTTGAGAAGTAAACTAAATATTGACTCAGAACTTACTCACAGAACTAAGATATCGGTTGATGAGATTATATTAGGCATACAGTTATGCCTCACCTCCACAGTCTTCAAGTTTCAGGATAAAGTATACAGACAAACAGAAGGAATAGCTATGGGATCGCCAATATCCCTGATCGTAGCGGACACATTTATCGATAGCTGGGAAAACATGGCTTTACAAACGTTTAGTCCTGCACCGAAAATATGGTGGCAATATGTGGATGATACACTTACTGTGTTGAAATCAGAACATATCGACAATTTTCTCATGCATACAAACTCAGTAGTAAATGCAATCTGATTCACTTTCGAGGTAGAAAATGAGCAAGGAGAATTACCCATGTTGGATTGCAGAATAAAACGAAGAACAGACGGTGGCTTGGATACTACTGTTTACAGAAAACCAACACATTCCAACAGGTATCTAAACTTCAAATCATCCCATCCAATATCAGTTAAGGCAGGATTAATCAAATGTCTACGGGATAGAGCTAGAAAACTGACTAGTCAGAGGAAGAACCTAAACAGGGAATCGAAACACGTAAAAGAAGCGCTAATAGTTCATTATTTCACTAGCTGCACTGAAAAAACGCCATATTTTATGTCCTGAAGTGGTACTCACTTAACTGTCACAGGTGGTTGTTTTCAAAAAAACTATTAAAATTCAATAAACAAGCAATCGTTCCTTTCGAAAATAGTGCTAATATAGGTATAGTTGTGGAGATTAAAGTGTATCAGAGAAGTAAAATAGAAGAAGCAGTAAATATTTTATGTCATTTGAACACAATCTGAAAAGTTACTGGTGAAACAGAAAAACTGAACACATCAGGTACAAATAATATAATTCTGTAAGTTTTAGGTTGCATTTCATCATGGACTGATTTCATTTGGAGGAACATTTGAAACTGGGGATCTTTGGACGGCTGTTTTGTCTCAGCGTAGGACTCCTCAGCTGTACGCATCCATGATCTCGCCCAGTCAGGGATCGAACCCAGACTGTTCAGGTCCCGTGGGCAACATGTTACCATTGAGCCAGTATGTCGGGATCCAACGGTCCATATTTCCTACTTCTGTCAGTTTACAATATAGCGCAGCCTACATCCAATATCGTCTCTGAGTAAGTGTCCTGATGTTTGACTTGGTTGACTCCACTAGTCACTGTATTTCCACCCAGTGACTCAATGGTAACGCTCTGACCACAGGATCTGAAGGTCCTGGATTCAAGACCTGATGGGATCACGAGTTTGCCTCGCTGAGGAATCTCGCGCTAGGACGAAACAGCTTTTCCCTGAGTTTTCAATTTTCCTCCAACTGATGTCAGTCCATGATGAATTCCAACCTAAAATCGATTAATAAACCTCCACAAACCTCCAGATAGAATATTGTAAGTTGTTTAACTTAAGTAGTCAAAGAAAGGGAAGATTAGTTTATTTGATCATTTCTCAGTTGTCTCGTCAGACAAATAGATCACTTATTCATTGTATCTATTACAAAATGTTGGATCTAAACGATGTGGAAACTGAACTGAAAAGGTTTGAACTCATTCTTTCGAAGAAAACTTGAAATACACTTTCGGGTTGGCACTGAGTTGTCAAGTCTGTTTGGACCTCTAGATTTTGTTTAATTATTTTATTCGTTTTCATTCGGTTAGTGACTCGAACAATTCTAAGTTGGAAACTTTTACGGTAAGAAGAACAACTCCAGTTAATTTTGTAACCTGACTAAATTCTAGGAGTTTTCAAGTTATCTTTCCTACTAACGGTTTTGGTTTTGTCGTAGACAGTTTATCTTTTTGTTAGCCTAACCTCAGTTCTCAATGATTTAAACCTCGACTACTAAATGTTTGTGGAAATGTTCTCTTCTGCTGAAACATAACTTTCAACCAGTTGGTCATTATCTCGAACTTCACAGCAACTACTTCAGTCTAGGCAGCTGGCTAGTGTCATAAATTTTCACACTGTAGATCTGTTAAAATAACCTCTACCATTTTAGGTTGCCTTACTAGACCAAAGCCTGAAACATTGTTAATAGCTAACTATATTATTTAACTTTATTTTATATGGGACACCGTAAATACTACTATTTACTAGATGATATCTTAAGCACAGTTTATTTGTGTTATAATCATAATACTGTTTAACTGTATTCTGTCAAAGTTCTCTGCTGATTTAGGTAACACTATTTGTTCAGTTGATGGGAATTTTAATTTTTATTCAACTTACGCTGTTTTTTTGATTGAACTGTGACGTGATATAGTTTGATGTTAATAGAAATTTCTGTTTATCCTCAAAAACCATGACTTTTGAAAAACTTGAGAGATATAATCGTTAACAGTCACCAAGCAACTGCTTGTATAGAATTTTTGCATAACTGTCCTAAGTTATTTATTATCATAATCATATAAGTTATCATTTGTAGTAAACCTAACAATAACAACATCTTATAGTTTTAAAACACGGTAAGGAAAGTATTCATTTTTTCCATTTTTCAAAGATTATTCCACTAGCGTCCGAAAATCTGGCGGATGCTAAACATATCTTACATTTTGAGTGTCTAGGAGTTGTACATTCCTGGTATTTCAATTGGAAGCTGGAATGTTTAAGGTCATTCATCTTTGTAGTCAAAGCAGGTGCTAAATAACACAATCCAAATGAGTTGTAACATGTCCGATTTTATAGAAAGTAAACTAGTACTGGTTACCGCTATCTGAAAAACAAAGAAGAGATACTTTTCGCAACTCGGTGGCCTTTAGTTTGGTTTTTGTATATTCATTCTAAATAAATATTTATTTTACGTATAGATTGATTCTGTAACTACTAGGCAGGAAGAAAAATATGGTATTCAGTCAAAGGCAACATAAATATTTCAGTATAACTGTTGATGAACTACACTCCTGAAATTTGTTAAACATTTTTTGTCATCTGAAGCATTCAGAAGTTGCATGCCCTACATTATTTCTTTAAACTTGTTCGTTTGCTGAATTAGAAGCATAATAATCATCCTAAATAAACAAATGTTATGTCAGTTTGACAGTAAATGGATTTGTTCTGATTAGATTTGAGAGATGTGATGTTTTCACCTTTTCGCTAACGGGTCATAATTTAGTAGACTTTCAGCTTTTAGAAACCTTGACGCAGCTAAATCATCAGCGATTGTGACGGTATATGTTGAATTTCTATGCTCATTTTGAGTTACTAATTACCTGTTGTTAGTCAGTTCATTTCTACACTGTATCATTAGAAGATGTATGAAATTCCTCTGCTAGACACCAAGATCAATATAACACCGTGAACATCCAGTAGTGTCGAGGCATCCACAAAGGAATCCGTCTACCAGCAGATGTCAAGCGATTCAGCTCTGTATAGCAACGGGACATTACAAGTATTGTAACAACAACTGATACCTGTCGCACTGGAGGCGATTATTATGCCCCAGTGACTTAGTGGATAATGCTCTGGCGTTCAAAGCAGTGGGTATTGGGTTCGAGCCTCAATGGGAACAACATCATTCGCTGAGGTGTAGGTACATTCAGCTGATGAGTCCCAAGTAGGACGAAACACGTTTCCTGAATTCCTCTGCTAGCCACCTAGATCACTATAACATCATGAAAGTCACCTGTTTATAGTGTTTTGGAAACCAAAAGTTGATCCTGTACTATAGTTGTTTACTGTTTGGAAACAATGGAGAGTGATAGTTTCAGGAAGCTTAAGATATTTGTTAATTTACCAGTCGTTCATTCATTTCATTCATTCATTATATTTCCGCTTACACTGACTGTTTAAGTTGAAACTGCCCACGTATATTACTTTTAACATTGGAATGATTGCTTGATTTTTACATCACTCTAACCAACTGAATTTTTCCTTCCCAGTGGTGTTAATTGCATTGAGCTCCCTTCAGATACAATGAAAGGATAATGTAGAAATTCGTACAAAATTTCGTCAGTTCAAGTTAGCATGCTCCTCAGTGGCACAGGTATCACAAGATAACAGAGGTTAGCAAATAATACAATAAATATGAAGGTTTTGAAATAACAAAGGATGAAGAACCAGGGTTTGGGATTTTCGAAAGAGTGAATACCTATCCTGCATAACACTCAGTTTTACCATGCACCATGGACAATCTCCATCAAATTATTCAGTTTTCATGTTTACACTGGTACCCTAATATATCAAACTTTAGGAGTTACTGTTATCATAATATTTATCAATCAGAGAATTTTCCACTTTATCAGAGTTACCAAGCTTTTCAGAAATCTTTATTCTTGGAAAAAAACATTATGTCAAAGGGTTATAATAAAACTAATATTTCAAATTCTTTAATGCTCTATAACTTAGGAAATTGACTACATTATGGTCATATTTAAAAGAACGTGGAGTGGATATACCAATTCTATGGGCTCGTATAACTGATATGGTTTTCAAAACATTAGCATCAGTTGTTAGCTGTATTACTGCAATGGTTGATCAGAACTGTCGAAGACGTGCTTCAGTTTATGAACTATTCGGTTTTGACATAATATTAGATGCAGATCTCAAACCATGGCTCTTGGAAGTTAATGTGTCACCAAGGTATTGTTAAATGTTTCAACGTTGAATATTATACGTTTATATCATATTCGCTTTCTACTTGAAGACGATAAATCGTTTAAATCAAGAATTGAAAAATCTTAAAACATACTACTAATGTCTCTGGTTTGTGTCTTTTTTAATGTCTTTAGCATTAAATCGGTTGTAAATAACGCAGGTTGCTGTAATCGTTGTACTGAAAAGCTGTTGAGTGTGAGCAAAAGCGTAGACTGTTCATTTGCTTTAATTGACGACTAACGACTATGATTTACAGTAGTATTCTGCGGTATTAGTGAATATCACTTCAAGATATGTCAGCTGGAAACATTTAATGAACTAAGGGAATGGTATATCTCATTGATGGCTTCCAAGTATTTAGCCTTTTAGCCACCTAATAAGTGTGATCAATGAAATTCACCTAACACTGACGGACATATGGCTCAAAAAGTTTATTGACTTACTAGTAAAATGGTTTAAGTGTTTAGATATCAAAATCAGGGGACAGGTAACTAATATTCAGTGAGGGGTCTGTTTAGCGATCCATTTAACAGCTTATTAAATTGTATCACCCATACAAAGATGAAAATGTCGCCAAATGTAACTAACCATATATCATAAAAAGCTATTCTCAGTTCAACGGATAAGCATCTGCACAAACGATGGGAACTACTGTGAACAGCTCCATCTTAAAACTGGTAAGAAAAGCAGTTCTATAGCAACCAGTAAATGGACTTACCAGTGATGAAACCATATGCATGAATGAAATATTCGATTGGTGCTTTTAATGGATATTGAACTGTATGAACTATATGAAAGATGGTCAAAAACTGATGAACGATGTGTTCATTTCCAAGTTGTTCACAAAAAAGCTCGAGTTGAAAGGTAGTCAAGCTTTTCTAGATGAGATGGCTGGAAGGCCAGTTGATAAAACCATGATGACAAAGTATGAAGGAGGATATACTACAGGAGTACAACCCGGCTTTTGCGCAAGACACTTGTTATTCAACATTTTGCCAGCAAGTGAAAACCCACTACAGTATCGCCCAATTAATGAAGGTGAAAAATGTGAGAGTTTTTCTCATTTATGGCAAATCACTTCATATAAAAAGTGAATATCTATTGAAGAACAGTTAAATGTTTCTTCTAAACGAATTTTTGAACTGAAGGAACTATCATGCTAGACTCTTAGACCGCCTTGTTACTTAGCACAAATATCGCAGTCACGTGGCATCTGGACACCTCAACATGAAATGACTTGTGTTGTAAATACAGGCTTAATCAAGACAAGCTTGAAACTTACTACCTCAAAAAAGCTGTGGAGTTTGTGAAGCGTGATATTCAAATTTGTGAGCAGTTAGTAAACGGATTCGGACTTCAATTATGCACCTACCAGAAACAAGTTTTATAAAACGACATCCAAAGTGCTGAAACTATTAAGAGGAAACACGAAATCTATTACTAACAGGCGAACAAACGGGGATTAATGTGGCATGGCGAAACACAATATAACCATTACGGATTTAAGATTGAGGTATCAACAAAAGTTTACCGGTAGCCTGCCTAATAATGCAAACTGTAAAAGCTTACTTATTTCAGTGTAAATTTAAAGATTAGGTGGGTACATTGATACTGGATAGGGTGAGATACCAAAAACAATCCATCTTGAATTTAAAGCCCAAGTTTAATCCCATGAATACACTTCCTTTACAAATAAAAGTGGAATTTAAACCTAATCAGACACAAATGATATTTTTAAAAAAGGATCTGACAAAGTCTTTAATGCATAGTCTAAGATTAGAAGAAATAACGCTCTTATAAAATTTTTAACTGAATCAAACCAGTTTTCCACCAACACACTGTACAATACAACATTTCTATCAACTATACTGTTTGCCATCCAACTATCTAGCAATGACCGCTATAAAAACTGATGAAGAAAATCACAACTTCATTTCGTTGAAAAAAATTTGCCTGGACTTGAACTGTGCTGATGTTAGTGAATGTGATTGGGTTACACTTCTTATTCTCTCTTAGTCAAAGAATAGTTTTTATCCATCCGAGTAACTTACAGATAGTTAATTAATCTGTCGATTTTTTCATCACAAACTGATATCAAACTTTGAACCAATAATAAATAGGTGGATATGAATTCCCTACCAATAAGACTGACACTATAATCAGTTGAACGAAGGTTAAAAACAGTGACTATTAGGTTCGACCTATAAAGTTGAGTATTATCATATATATTCCTGGAACTGAATTAAATGAGACGTAATACTGAAGAAAATGGGCAAATAGGAACTAATTGCGCTAATTGGTAGATTTCACTAGCTAACCCATCGTGATAGTTTTCGAAATACTCATTTCGTTTATTCGTATATTGCACTGGTTCATAACACTTCTGTATCATAGGTCACACTTTATGATGTTCACTTGGTGATTTTGAATGGCAATCCTGTTGATATCATAGTTATGAAACAACTCATCTGAGAAAACTGTCAACATAAACTATGAAATTTATAAGTATTTTGCGAATCGAACGCCATCAACTATAATCTGTATTATATTGTTGTTATACATCATTTTTTAAATGTTAGACTGAAACTGAACTCCTGTGCAGGTTTGCATGATTCTCAGTGGTTTTCTGTGTCCTATATCAATTCAGAATTTGAAACATCTTTCATTTAATGTAATTACATTCTAATAGAGTTTATCGGAACATGTTTAAGTCTCATAGAGTAACTTTCTTTCCGCTCACCACCATATTGTGATACTTTTAATTAGCATTACATAAAGCAACGTGTTTGTATGCTGTAATAGTATTCACATGATATATATATATATATATATATATATATATATATATATATATATATATATATATATATATATAGATTTTAGATGATATTTCCCAATATTTTGTTGTCAATATATAAACTGCATCTTGAAAGATTGATTTGTTTCGTATAAGTTATTCATAAAACATAATGTAGATTCATAAAATAATTCCATTTCACTTTCATGATTGGTTAATAAGTTAACGGTTTCATGAGTAACCCTCGATGCGTGTGGTTCAACATGCATAGAAATGAATTCAGCAAAAAATCGGTGAGTGCGCACTACTGAAGAGTTTCATGTTAAGACAAAATAGTGCTCTCAGGTCATGAATGTTTCTTCAACTGATTTCCGTTGATGATGAGTACAAACTTGAAACTAATAAATATATTTCCGAAAATCTGCAAACTGATGACCGATAGTGTGTATACATCTGCGTAGTTACAACCGATTTCGATTCATCTCATAGAGTGTCTCTAGGTCTTCAGTCAGGCTGCTTGCACGTCCATGCATAGCCTAGACTAACAGTAAATCGCTTCATCGACTGACGTCTCATTTCTCTTTGACCCTCTTTAGCCAGCTTTCAACCCAATTTTGTTTTAGCTAACATTGCATGTTGGGGAACGCACTGGTTTGGCATTCATATCATGTGTTCAATCCACCTCATTTGGTGTTGTTTTATTAGTGAATTGACTGAAGTATCTTTCTCTCCCAGTACCTTAAGCCTAACCCCGTCACTGACTATATATTGGAAGTAATGAAAAACTGGATATTCTATTCTTGGTTGTATTGTATTCTCTGAGCTGGGCTGTTTAATCGTGGAGTTTTCATCTTCCTCATATTCTATTCAGCAGAAAACTATTAAAGTAGGCTTGGTGGATTATGTAAATATAGGATGTTCTAAAGTGAATATTAGTGCGTTTACTGAATCCAGGTTTAAAAAATATTTGAGCATAACGTCTCTTCGATACATCATTTTCAGTAGTTCATAAACCACTCTAAGTATTTTAAAGAGTAATTCCATGATTTGGAAGTTACTTCTTGTCTTTCACATCATTAGTTTTCTGGGGTTCATAGCTTCATTTTACTTCCAGTTACCTCTAAACATAAATTTCGAGTCCTGGGAATTTCAACGTGAATCTTCAGGAGGCTCTTTTGTTTAATCTGGGGTAATCAACATAACTGTCTTTTTGAAGTCTACATGCATATAGTGCTTGCACTCACAAGCCGATTTGAGGTTATCCGAACGTTAGATAGGTACTTCAGTGACCCTCTTTGACTGACTAAACTAACGGTCTGATAATAATTTTAGCTCAGAGGATCCAGTTATTTTAAGGATCACTGTTATTTGGATCCTATCACACTGCTTGTTGACTTGGTGTCTCACTGAAAACAAAACATCTTTCTGTTATATATGACAGGTAATTTCTGGTTATTAGTATTAGTGAGATCTGAGTAATTATGCTTCATGTTATTTGAACTCTAACACCATTTATGGTTATATTCTTGGTACTGATAATGTTACTGAACAGGTAATATTATGTGGCCTAATCATTCTATTAACGAAGACATGTCAAAATGGAGTTTTTTAATTGTTTACTTGTTTCCTCTTTTTTTCATATCACATTGTGTATGTTTTAAAAACTTGTTTCAATTATAAGATATTTTTCACTGAAACCTTTACCAGCGAAAGCCTTTGGGGCACGAAATGTAATGGATACTAGAATGTAAACAAATAAGATTGTGTTGTCCATAAAACTCTCAAATGGGTAAAGAAATAAATTAGATTATTTTGCTGTCATTTATGTGCAATAAATCATATTTATCATGAACATTATCTCTATGGTAAGGTCGAAGATAAAAAAGTACTCTTATCTGTTCGCTAGTAAATGTGATAAAATTTGCATAAAAGTGTTCCAGAGACTTACTTGCGATTAAAATCCATAACAAATTTATTTATGGAAATATATAGCCCAGTTTCATGTCATCAGAAAACGTCTCAATTAAGGTGGATGAGACAAGTCATCAAAAGAGTGTCAACAATTAATCATGTCTATTGTTTCAAAAATCGTAAATCTGAAATCCATTTATAGCTTTCAAGTCCAGCGTATACTCGATGTACATTTCATTTGCGTTTCTAAAAGTCTGAACTTAAGTAATTCCCAAAATAGCTAAATATCTTCACCTACCGACGTGGTCTGAACATATGTTGCACATTTCAAACCATTGACTACTTCAACCCCCTATCTCAGTAGGATTAGACCAGGAGAAAGCTAAGGTTGACCAGATAAAAACACGACACCGATTTCTGAGGCTCTTAGCTCTTGGCCGGAGGCATGTATAGGGGTATATGCTTCATGGTTAGAGCTCTGAAAATCATGAGAATAAGAGAATCGGTATTATTAATGAAATGGCTGAAAATCTGCAACAAGATTGCAGATGTTGGGTGTCTTCTTCACCCTTAAAATTCTGAACACTTTCACTAACATTCATTTATTTATCGTCTCCCCTATAATATGGTTTATTATTATTATTGCTTTCTTATCTATCTTCTACTGGTAGAGTGTCAGATATTATGGGAACCTTAGCTGATGCACTTCTGTATCGAATTCTTCTTTGATAATCTGCTGGTTCGATAAACTAAGGTTCATTTATCAATCTCTGCCTCGACCCTACTATTTTAGTTTTAAATATTTTCACTTTGTCCCATCTCATTCTGTGGTTGTGTGTAATTGAATCCACAGCTATGACCAAACTTGTATTTAAATTCCTTATCTTACTAGGATCCACGAATTCTGATTAGGCCAGATTTTTGTATTCAACTAACCTTATTGACCCTGGTCAACTACTGTGATCTATTTATTTGACCTTACAATTCGTTGCAAGGGATTTGGGAAACTAAATTATTCTGTGGAATCGGATCAGTGGTATCCTTTAACTTACAAAGTTCTTTTCAAAGTGGTCCAGTGAATAATACTGTTCCATTTTATGATACGTCTAATAAATCAACTAAAATGGGATCCTACTAGGGTGTCCAAGTTCCACTCTTATATGTTGTTCAACTTTACCATAAATATGCTTGTGGTTATCTACTGCTCTCATTTTAATTTACACTGATTTATTCTGTTGTTGCTATTACCTGGTGAGGCTGGAGTACGCACACGTTTCAGTCATTTTAGGGAAGACATCGACAATATGTAGTCTTCTCCAGACAATTGAAGTGATGGTTTCCGGATGCTTGGCATGCGTTTCTCAACATATAGATGCAAATTATCGCTTCAGGAATTGCTTATTTCAATGGGTTTTTCTGATGCGAACGGGCAAATTGTTTGGGTAATTTGTTCACTTTACTTACTTGAGAAGTTCTATTAGTTTTGATGTGTTAGTAACCTTCGGAACCTACCCAGGGATACAATATGACCAACTGGGTTTCATAAACGTTTGTCACTGGATGACATTACAAAGCCCTGTCGGCTGATATGTCTTTCATGCGTAGCCTATGATGAGTCACTGTCCTCTTCTACACGGTGTTAGTGGAAGGGTGCTTTTGGCTGAAAAATGGTTACAGGCTGTCAAAGTGAAACATGCTATCAACCTTTTATGTCTCTGACGAGGACTGAAGATTTCAGACTTCAAGTTTTAGGTCCGTTGGACAACTGAGATCGGTACTTGGAAACTCCTTGTGATATGGAGCTGATTCATCCACATATTACCTAAATGCTTACCATTATATCTAATTTCTTTACTTCTTTTACACCTTTTTTCCCTCTTTTTATTTTCTCCTACAATATTTGATTGAATTCCTTCTATTTCTCTATCTAGTTTTTTCGCATCCTGATACGTTCTTATTACATGTGACAGTTAGGACTATAACATAGTATTGTCAGGTCCCATTTTCGTACAAACTCAGTAACTTTCCTTGTTTTCCTGGACTAAATTGTGATGAACCTGTGATGGCTTATGGGTTTTTCAGTAGATGAAGTGATATTGTCCTTATTTCGATTTCTTCAGTTTGTTGGTGGTTAGCAGTGGAATGTGTGATAAGCATTTTTAAAATATCTTAAACTTATCAACTGAATTTACTTCCATTCACATAAATACTGGTGTTCTTCCTGAAAGTCACCTATTCAAAGGCTAGAGACTTATCCGTTAAGATATCTAACTACAAAATTCTCCTCTCGTACAGGGAATTATAGTTTTATTTAAAATGTTATATTTCTGATTGCGTTCCTTACTGAATCAGATTAATTACTCTCGATAAAACATATACACTTACACTGTTGCTTAGCTAAATAAGTATGCTCAAGTTCGACCCTGTCACACAATTTAGGCACGTCTTTCAGTTCATCTCCTTTACAGTTTGGACGATATGCATAGGTTTTATCCTTTAGATATATATTATTTCCTTGAAATTCGTAAGTTTTGGGAATCCTTCTTTTTACTTTGTAGACATTTTAAAATAAAATACTCACCGAGATATTGGTGGTTGAGGTTGAAACAAAACCACAGTCCGCAAATATTCGTGTCACTTGCCTCTAGGTTTTGAATTTCGAACCACATTAAACTTCCACTTAGATACCAAGATATTAAACCTAACGAAAAAGTTCAGATTATGAAAAGAACAGAAATGAGCATGCAGTGACGGGTATTATAATCGTAATTCTCTAAAATACGTTCAAGACGATGGAGGATGATGGAACGAAAGTGTATCTGTGTCGCTATAACCAGCTTCATGTAATTCTAACTAAAGTTCTCAGTCTTTGTTTTCCATATCAGGCCTCAACCAGGAACCTTATAGTTCCTCTTAATGTCTAAACCAACTTGAGCACGAAGCATTTTTCTGAGTTAACACCACTACGATTGCATCGGTAATTTGTCGTATACTGTGATATACTATATGTAATATATGTTTTGTAGATCGGAGCAAGTTGATAAACTTATTCAACGACCTACCTTCCTCTTCAAGATTTCCATACCTGACTTCAAGTGTACCATATAACTGAACCTTGAACAGATACATCTAGCATCTTATTAACTTTGTGTTTATCATGTCTTCCATTTCAGTTTACACACAAATACGCAACTCGATGATGAGGTGAAAACAGCCGTTGTTAAGGATATGTTCAATATATGCGGGTTTCAGCTGCCTCCAGATTATCGTCCATCACCATCAATGTCATCGAAATCAACAGCTACATCAATGTCAGTAAATAATGGTCATCATCACCAGGGGAAATATGCAAATTTAAATGCAACTGATAAAGGATTATTTCCACAGTCCACGTCATCACTGTGTGACCAAAGTCGGTCTTTTATGCTACGTAACAATAATAGTAATGATGGTACCAGTAGTAAACTGTCTAACAAAAGTGCTACAGGTTCTCCCAGTGTTTGCATTTCACAATATCGTAATTCATCTGCATCAGTGATAGCAACAATGCAGAAAGGCTACTATCCGGTGAATGGATTACCTCCACCAAGTCCATCGATTAACAATAATGCGCATCTGAAGAGATCCATTTCATCGTTATCCACTAAAATTACACCGAATTCAACGAATTGCAAAAACTCTCCCAGCCAAAGTAACATGAGTAATTCTAATTGGTTGTTAAATAGCATAAGTAATAAGATAGCCATTGACCCATATATACCTAAGACAGATCCACGTGTATGGGATATCAGTTTGTCAGCAGAAGATAAGCGGAAACACCTATTTTACTCATCATTATTGACAGATAAGGAAAAGGTTAGTTAAAGTGGTTAATTTTGCCTCCATGGAATTAATTCTCTTTGTTATTTTTGATTACTTTTGTGTCAGATCTAACCTGCCAATTCAAAGTTGGTTAAAAGTGGTCATCTGTGGTAAAAGCGGATGAATAAACTTTATATTACGTACGTAAGTTGACGACAGCTCGCCTAATGTCATGAACATAATACGCACATGTTCGTCGAGTAAGATTTTGATCATCATATTTCCTCAGTAGCGGCTAACAATGGAGACCAATTTTCAGCAGCGCAAATTGAAAGACTGTTTTTTAAGTGTGATGGTAAAATGGTCAGTAAAATCTACAGGTCGCCTTGCATCGACAATGACTGAAAGCTAAAAAGTTTCTTATCCAAATGTGAACTACAAAAGTACTTCCCCAAGCCTTAAAAACCTTAAGATTATTCCTAAAATACCTTGACCTGTTGAAGTAAGTACTATGCCTAGTTAATGTAATTTTGCCTCCATCGGTTCCTATGTTGGATACAAGTGTATAAATTGAAACATTCCATGATATCACTCTGTGTGTAACCCCTTCCTTATAACTATTTCCATAATTATCTTAGGTTGTCTGCTTTGTTCAATGTTAGAGTCTCTAAATTCATTTCTAAGTGACTTATATACTGATCTTAAGACGAAAATTATTCCCTTTACGGGCGCAGATATACCTTAGTGATGAATACTTTCGGGCTTCTTGCTAATCGGTTTCTTGATACCAAACACTAAAATACACTGCATTGTAGTGTAGCTCTAATCAACCAACTTCTCAAGTACTTTATAAGTTTCCAGAATTTCGAAGCAAATAGAATTTAACGACTATATTTCTCAGCCTTCTATCATTAATCTGTATCTATAATTACCCTTTAGAAAGAGATTATTGATGTTCGATGATGGAGATGGAAAATATAGATCTGGATATCGCATCAGTAATGAAATTTAAGTGAAATATTCATATATATGAGCATTTTTCATGTGCATTCAAATGGGTTATTCGAATGTACATAGATAACTGTAACACTTTACTTACACAGGATTATATAAAATAAATAAGTCATGTACTTTTATCAATTATTATATATTTTTTTAGTACTGATCACTGACCAGTTATTTTTCGCACATACGTCGTAATCAACACCGCGAACAAAAAAATCAACCGTCATGATTTCAGACAGATTGAATGAAACTCTTCAAGGTAGTAGAGAAGGCGAATAACGAAAAAAAGGAAATTCTGGACAGTATCCAGTCTTCTGTTCAAGATGCCAATATACCAACAGAGACCGATCAAATGGACCAAGTACAGTAATCCACAAGGAATGCCAAGGGGTAATAAGAAAATAATACCTATTGCAAAAGAAATGTTTTTCGTGACTCAGTAACATAGTGGATGACGGAATGTTGTTCTAAATTATGAGTCCACGGTCTGAGTCTCAATGGCAACATCCTTATTCACTGGGATGGAGGTACGCACGAGTCCCATACAGCACAAAACACATATCCTCGATTCCACTGAGACCCAACAACAAGCAAATAGTTTCAACTAAATTGCTACTCAATTCAGTACGTTTCTTCCAATATTTAGAACCTGATGACTACGTTGCTTAGCTTTCTGTTAGTTGTTCGCGCGCGTAATGAAGTCCGAAAGCGAGCTAGTCATATCCTAAATAGTTTCACCGGGAAATAACGTTCTTTGGGTTCTCAATGGACTAACATGTGGGACAGATGCATCGTTCAAAACCTAAATCTCACAGTTATGACCACCCATTAGCAAAGCGTGACTACAACCTTGAGTTGTTTTCTGTTTTCTGACTGATATTAAAAGGCATCACTTTGCCTCAGTTATATCGCAACAGTTGATTCTGATTATAAATTCGATTAGTATAATTACAAGATGAAGCTTGTTTGAATAATGTGATGAATTTGCGCGGACCAATCGAAAGAATCTCACCACACACATATTTTTTAAATCAGTCAATATAAAAATGAAAAATTGGAGGACAAATAAGCAATTACAATAGTAGGAAATCAAAACCAGGAAGGATAAAAGAATTATGACATTAAAACAGATAATGTTTACTAAGGGGAAATTGTTTTTATAAAAACAAAGCGGACATTTATTTGCGTACGGTTATCGCTTCTGTGGATCCGTGATAGCCTCCGATTGGTCTTATGTAAACTGTCGAAGGCTGTTTGAACATCAGTTCTTCGACCGATTTCTAAAATATGTTTAGCTTTGAATGAAGGGAAATTTCTCCCAATTTCTGTTTTGAAGCCATTTAAGTGCATATCCCTTTGCCATCAACTGTTGGACTTGATTTCCTCTCCCTTCATATGTTTTAATGTTTTCATATGGTTCCTTATCTTTGACCATACTTTGTCTGGCAAACAGTATAATCTTCATTGATAGGATTAAAATATCATAGTTTTTTTGGCATATTCCTCTTCATTCGATAACTCTTTGAGTCGATTCTTGTTTTGTGAGCTACTAATACAGCATGGGACTATTTGACCTGATCCACCATTCTGTTGTATTTTCTTCCTATCAGCCATGCAGATTTGCTTTACATTTTGTGTGATTATACTGTATTTGAAATATGTGGTTTGTGTTTGCTCACCTAGTAGAGGAAACGTACTAACTAATGGAGATTTATGTGATGTCTGTAACTATAGGAAAATTGAGGCTTTTTCTACGAAAGCTTATCTTTTGCGACGTATCATTTTTTCGATCTGCAAGAACTCTGGCAGTTCTGTTTAACGCAATCTTACGTGAAATACTACTGATAACCTTGAAATTTTGAGTGTTTCCAGCAGTTTATTCTGTTTTATGCTTTTGTTACCTCAAAAGACCGTAGAGTATAACTTTTCAGATATCTTCATCATAATACTTCAGTGGTGTTCCTCATGTCAATATCTTATTTCCTAATGAATGCAAAACAAAATTAGGTTGTCCCGTTAACGTTCGAACTCACGCCTAAATCTTACATATCTTTACAGTTTTAAGGTCAATCAAAATCCACAAGCTTTCTTTTTCACCAGGAACAAACTCTCTAAACATCTATCTGTGGTATTGAAATCCTTTCAAAAAACGCTTGAAGCACATGGCTATGGATTCGTCTAACTCTAACTTCCGAACATCAGCATTAAAGTTCAACAAAAAAGAATTTATTGTAGGTACTGGCATTAATTGTGTTGTATTTCCAAATTACTAGATTCAGACACAACTCTAGCAGAAAGATGTTGACTGAATACTAGTGACATCATCAAAACCCTAATAGTTTCCTTAGAAACCAATTACTTCATATTTAAGAGAAATGGTACCAATAAACCAATGAGATTTATGTATAAGTTCAACTGCATCAGCCATAGTGACGAAATTAGCCATCGGTCGATTTGGAGAAAGTATCATCGCTCAAGTAATAAAGTCGTATGTTTGGTTAATATATGTTGATAGTTCTGACATGTGACATGCACTTCATATTCTTCCACTGACAGAACACTGTGTCACCCATTACACTATAAATAGTTCAGGATAAAGGGTCAAACAAAAGTGAAGGACTTTTATTAGATTGTTTAGCTGACGTAGAAAAGTGTATATTTAAGCATGAGTATTTTCAGGAAAATCTCAAGCCTGAACAAATATTTACATTTAGATTGATTACGACCCGTCACTAGAAAAATTCTACTGTTATAGTCAGTTTTTTAAGGAGAGACTATACTCTGATACCGAAGGGGAATGAAAAACCGAAGAAGTTAAGGAATGTAGCCGGAATCCAAAAAATGAGAAACCATCCTTCAACCCTTATTCACGAAATCGAAGACAACAATAAAGACCGGAAAGCTGCCCCATTATCATAGATTATAATAACATTTATTTCATACAGATTACTTACTTTGGATTGGATCAAGAGGGTGTCCAATAGAGGCGATTTCCAATTGTTCTACAGATCATGAAACCAGCCACTGAGCACCTAGGCCTATGAAAACAGTAGAATTTTCAGGAATTCATGGTCCTATAGCATTTATAAATAAAACGCTGACATTACAATCGCAATTCATATACGACAAATCTCCAGCAAAATAAAGCTTAGAAAAAAAGTGTCGGATGGCTTCATTTCAACTTCTTAGAAATCCATTATAGCTTACAAAGTTTAAATTAACGTCAACTGAAGCTCCACGCTGTATGACATCAGGTTATGAGGTCAACTCGGACAGTGGTAACATTTTCTAAAAAAATTGAAAATGCAGTTAGAAACGTTTTTTAGCACAGTGTATTCATATAAAACTAAACTGACGTTCTATGTAGGAACAGTTTAATTCAAAACAGCCCAACCTAGTTTCAACCCAACTCCTTAAAATTACACATTCATCACATAAATGCACAGATTGCTTCGAAACGAATTTCCTTAAGTTTTAGTGGGAAACCGTGACCTAAAGAATCAACCACGTTGAACGTAGGGTTGAATACTCGTCGGCAGCAACAGATGGTTGTGAAACTATATCGCAAATTGACAGAATTGCGAAAATGTTGACCACTAGATTCTGACCCATAGATTGAATGGTAACGTGCTCGCCAGGAAACCTGAAGGTCTTTGGTTCAACTTGTGGCGGGGCAGTGTGCATACTGCTGGGGATTCCTGTTCTGTGACGTAACAGGTGTCCAGAGCTACTAGACTTTCAGTGACTATCCAACTAACGTCAGTCCTTGTTTATAACTACTTTGAAGTTAAACAGTACTTACAGGTCTCCAGTCTAAATTGCTATATTCGTTGGGCTCCTCATTCACTTGACAGCGCAGAATTATTCATACAGAACTTTGACCGGGCTTCTGCCCTACCATCGCTTAAAATAGGCACTAACAACAAACAGAAGTCATAAGAAATAAAATTGTTTTGCTTACGTTCATTGATTATCCTGTACTGATTTTTCAGCTTTTTTCAAACTGTCAAATTTCATCATGAATTGTATATGTATGAATTTCCACAGATGTGCTAGGTATTCCCACCAAACATTCCATTTACCATCGTGGTGGAAACTGTTAACCAGTTGAACACAATAAACATCTAAAAGAATTAAAGTACAAGGTTAGATGGTGAATGGTCAGTGAAATCAACTCCCAAGTATGGTGGTCATCAGAAATAATTGAAAAAAGCGTTGAACTTAAATATCTGGCTTGTTAATGTTCGCTTGCTTCTTGTTTTTTGAATGTATAAAGAGCGTTTTATTTGTATATGAGCTAGTCAAACTCAGGTGTGGGGAAAACAAGAGCTCATAATAGCCAGTATCTGTGATGCTTATATTAAGTACTTTCGGTAGAGTGACTGTATATAGTGAAAACTAAAACATTGTAATACATTTTTATTATACACGTTAGTGATTAATAAATGGTTCTTACCCTTAAACCACTAGTTGGTTTATCAACTATCGGTTAGACATAGTGTTCAGCTTTTGCTAACAATTAAACGTCCTAAATATAAAATTTTGTAAATTTGTCACTTCAAATTTCTGATCATCTTGATCATATTACTATTCATATTTTTAATATTTACATAAAGTTCACTTTCATAAAAACAGTTCGAACTGTAGGTAACTTTATTGGGTAGTATTTTAATGTACATTTTCCATTTTATTCCCTTTTTCATGTTTCCAGAACAAGGCAACGCAAATATCAAATAGATCGAGTAAATCTAGTGAAAAGAATGTCAACGGTAAACGCGATGACCGAAAGGTAAGCATTAATCTTATTTGTGTTAAAATGAAATTATTTTCATGGGCATTCACAAACTGATCCATTTAAAAATATCATACCATTCCATCTTGTTGACTATTCTGATTTGTTGTTAAAGTTGTAATATATGGTTGTCATAACACTGATAGCAAAAATGACTATGCATTTTGTTTATTCATGAATAACACAACCACACAATAGGGTGGGACAAATCTACTATACTTAAGTTTAATATAACTAGGTGGAGAGAGAGATCGATTACTGAATCTTTGTTCAACACCCAACATATGTAGTGGAAATGACGCAACGTCTGTACTAGATATATAAAAAATCTTACTACCAATAACAACAAATCATATGAGGTGAAGTAACTATAAAAATCGAATTTTGGAAGTTGTGTGATTACATTGATATGGTTATGGGCAATAATTTATACTGGAAACGCTATCAAGTGAATAATGCTAGGTCATTGTGTTATAAATCAAATAAACAAACGTAATGTGGAATTAAATTCTACCACAGTTTTACACCTATATTAATGAATAGGTTTCTTTCGACTTCTGTTTACAAATACTTACTTTTCATGGACTAGTGGCGGGAACTTATTGGATGGTGTGCTTGGTTATATTGTGTTCTCTGAGCTGGGTTGTTTAATCGTGAAGCTTTCATCGTCTTTCTGGACGATGTCATCAGCACTAACTTTAGTATGAAGTGAGCTATCAATATCTCTCCGTGAGTGATTTAGTGGCTTGCTCTGACGATGTGGTCTGTGATCGGTTGTTTCCTTAGATTGTTGTGTCATTGACTGTATAAACTTTCCTGTTGGCTGTTCCTCTGTTTGACCTCTGACCTTTCCGTCGTTTATCATTTTTCTTATTGGTTGATATATTGAGTTAATGTTTATGCATCTGCTGATTGCTGGCTGGACTGAATGCCAAGCTTCTAGGGATTCTCTGATATTCTTTGTATTTCCTCTGTTCAAAATTTCTACATTGTCGAAATTGAATTCATTTCCATAATTACCCACGTGCATTGAAATGAGTGACGAAATGCTGTGGATGCTGTGCGCTAAACAAAGCTTTTATTAAAGAACTTAACAACAGGTTGATTCAATTTCCTAATAAGAGTTTATAGTGATTTCCATCCCAGTTTAGATATTCGAAGGGAAAAGTATAGTTTCTTGTTTATATGTTTCGAACCCACTAAAACCCTACACGAAGGAATATCCACTAACATGTATGCAACTTATCTAATAAAGAGAAAATGGAAGTGCATCTTCAGCTCTGTAACGGAACACTGAGTAAGCTGAGGAAACTCTTCTTCTTCCGATAAATCCTTCAAAACGCAGTACTGAATGAAACAAGACACTCGGAGGGACTGAGGTTAAGACATCTGGGCATGGCTGAAACATTACCGATAAAATAGCTCAAACCATCATTATTATTTCAAAAGAAGCATGTAAAACCTCCTTCTTTGGGATGGCCGTCGTGGGGTATCAATCTCACTAGATAATTCTTAAATGACGTAGCTACATTTATTTCATAGTCACTTTGTTTATTTCCCGTTGTAATCTCTGAAAGATACTACGTAGATTTATTTTGTTATGCAATTTATCCCCTGGAATGTTCTATTCTTTCTACTATATGCTCAGGACTGTATAGCTAAAAGAATGATTTTGTCGAAAGAAAATTTTTCCTTCACTGTAATCATCTCCTGTGCCTTTTAAACTTTGAATTCCAAATTGTGATTTTTGGCGATTAACTATGTTAAAGCGTTTGAAATTGACTGGAAAATTAGGCTAGTTGGGACTTACCAGCATGGTGTATCCTCAGCTGTAAACAAAGTAATTCTTTCTCAGTGATTCAGACTTGAATCATTCAATATGAAAGTCATACGTTTGTATGTTGAATTTACTTTCATGATAACGACTTGATTTTTTCTCAGAACTTCGAAATTCATCAACAAAACTTTTTATATATAAGGGGATCATCAGTGATAAAGTTCCTATCAGCAGTGTTTCTGACACACTGAAATTTACTTTTTTCATCAAATTATGCGTCAACACAGAAACACTAAGCTTTTAAACGGGTGTTGAGAAAGAGTTTTCATGAATATCTATCGTGCTTACCTCCTCTCAGTCGTAACTTACATATAGTGCGTACATGAATGCATACAAAAACTTGTTTTCACGTTGAAGTTGGAGTTTTGTGTAGAGTCTAGAAAATTATGTTATTTTACATTAATTCAACCTAATAATTACTATTTATGTATGAATGGTGCATGGACCTGCTTGAGTAGGTAAGTTTAGCATCTTAACATTGTTCAACCAGTTTTTAAGCTTAATATGTGATAAAGAGCAGATGGTGAGTGTGTTTATTTCTGATATTTTCCTCTCCGCATTCTATTACATCCATAAAATAGGATTTCTTTCAAACAATAACATTGCCACGACAGCGAATTTCCTTCAAAATTTCATCATTTTTGTAGTCGTACAAAATTAAAAACTTTATCGTAAAACTGGTATCAAATAGATACGAGAATCAGCATATACGAGTTGATCTGATATTATTATTTTCCTAACAATCAACCAAATGGGTCATTTTTTAGATTGATTTGAGAAGCAAAAGACATTCGGGCCTAAATTCTAAGCTTATGATCATAAGTTAAGTGACAAGCGAAATTTTAACGCCAGTATTAATCCTATTTCCTGAAATTATGTTGAGCTTGTCGGAGTCCCAGGCCACCTCTGCGTTACCGTCAGTAGCAGTACAGCAATATATGAATATTCCATACAAATTCACCAAATGGCTGTGAACTAATGCATTTGAATATAATGTATGGGATAACCGTGGACATTGTAGTAAAATATAATTCTCTCTTAGATTGTTCGTTTGATGTAGCATACAATGACACAGTATAATTTACTGGATGAAGTTTCAAGCAGAATTTATTGTTTATAATCATATCAAAGTAATCAGATGACTTTCAAACTTTCTTTTCATGGTCCAACTGTTCATTCATTTATTTTAATGGTAGTAAATTTTTCTACATATCTGCGATATCTGATGAGTCATTCCTGTTACATGTGTTAGGTTTTAGTTTAATGAACAAAGATTCTTTGATCAATCTCTCCACCTAGCCATATTGGATTTTATAATTGTCATCCTGTCCCACTCTGTATAATGATTCTGTTTCAGTACATGCAGAGCGATAGCCGAATTTTCCTCTAAATTACTTATCATAGAAAGGTCTACCACTGTGTCTCGCTAAATTTTGTGTTCTGCTATTCTGACTGACCCAGATCGGCTACTTTGACTTGTATACTTGACTATACAATCATTATTTGATAGATTAGGTTATTTTTCTTAATTGGCTTTGTTGTGTCTTTTGGCCTGCAGACTTTCTCTCTGAGAGAGTTTGTGCGTTTAGATGCCACCCTAATCTCAGCATTGTTTAGAATCCGATGTGCCTTCTTTGTGTGGCGACACTACAAACGACTTGACTTCCTTCTTAGCCATGTTTCAACCACTACTAACATTACTACTCGTTTTCTTATCAGTCCTTATAAACATTTTAGTAAATTCTGGAGGGTAGCTATTAGGAAGTAGTGTCTCTTTGATATGTTTCATTTCCTTACTTAGGTTTTCTGACTTGCTAGTCAGACACCCTTACCCCAATTACTTAAAGATTTTATCAAGCCTACTTTGACAGATATAGGATGAGACGATGTGGGATCCAAGTATCCGTTCAAATGTGTTATTTCCCTATAAAAACTAGTATCTAAGCTTCCATTTTCTCTCCTCTTGATTTTGCAATCCAACGTATGTAATTCTATTTCTTCATTCTGTGATTCATAAGTGAATTGGATTGCATCTACCGTCAAGTTAATGTGCCTTGAAAAAGCTGCATGTGTTTTCACTTCAACACATTAAATGTATCATTTACAGATCACTACCATACCTTTGGGGTGGGTTGGAATATTCTTAATGATAGTTGTTCCTAACTATCCATAAACATGCCTGTTACTATTCTGAATATTGGAGATCCCATAGATACTCTTTCTGTACGTTTATATATTTTGTCTTGACATTTGAAAACTGTGGAAGTTGAAAATAGTCTTATCCCAGGCATAATTTCATCATTATGAACTTGACCAGTAGTTGTCTTATCTACTGAGCTTATTGCTACTTCTGTGCTGGGTATAACATCTTTATGTTGAGTTGAGCTTCTGTTACGTAGAAGTTTAGTCCTTTCTGAAGAATTTTTACTTCTGTCGAATTTAATTGTCAAGTTGAGAGACTGATCACTCACTTTGTTCGATTGGTAGTTGATGGCGCCTCGCTAGTAGCTGCGTTCTTTGTGGGGAATTTATCGTTTATTAGTTTGTTGGACTTTTTAATTTCAGCCTTTTTAGGGTTTTCTGAAAGCAGCTGTTTTCGCTTTATTGGATGCTTGAATCAGACGTTCATGATCTTTTTGGTTTACTATTTTCATCAGTCCGCACTTCAAGTGTTCGATTTCACTGCATATTCTGGCTACGTTTTTGATAATCCTGTGGGGTTTTTCTCTTAGGCGTCGTTTTCTGACTTGTTCAATTGCTCTTCTCACTATGTCGGTTGGAATTAGAGTCCGTAGACGAAGATATTTAAGAATACAATGGTTTTTTATGCATCAGATGTTAAAAATAGAATGGGTTGTGCATTGTGCTTCAGTTTGTGAATATATATATATATATATATATTTATATGTAGTAGGCTAGGTGCCAAGCAGACTGTGTGTATTTAATTTTCATTCCAGAGCCTACATTTTATGTTCTCTAGACAACAGACGTTTTCTTCAGTTGTAATTTTTATTATTGCTTTCATAATTTTCCATTCTGCTTTAAATTATATTGCACACTCTTCTTCATAAATTGGAGGAGAGAAAAAACAAGAATGGAACCAGAATAAAACAAGTCTTTTTTGTCTCAGTGGTATCTTATCAACTGCCTAACACGCTAA